GTCACAGGTCGCCTCGACGGAAACCCCATCGTCGATCTTCTTGCAGACTGCTCAGGGGAACAAAAGGTTCATAGCATTCATTCGCTGCTCCTGGGCTGCTGCTGCTGGGCAGAACCCACCGACCGGGAAGCCGACGACGCACGCTACAACGTTACGCTGCGCTATCGGACCCAAGACACCCCCGATAGGCAGGACACAAGCGAGGGGTTGACCATTATCAGGAGCTGCGAAGCTGCGAAGCGCCAAACGAGCTTGTCGACTGCTGCGAAGGGAAGGTCCCCCACGCTCCAGGAGCCATTGCCTCGAACAAGCACGGGATTCTGCAACAGCACACACTCTTCACTGCTGACCGGTCACATGTGCTTCCCGCGCGCTGCATGGGCATGGTGTCATCATCGTGGCACGCGACACAAGATAATCAATTGAAGAACCGACCATCGTCGTCAACGCCTCACGGCCATCATCTCTCACCTAGGACGGGACGAAACAGGTACGCGGCAAAATAAGCCCGGGGAACCATCCCGCAGGATTCGGTATACACTTCCTACGTAATTAACGCAGGTCATCGCCGACAAGAGGCCGCGGTAAAATTTAATCCCATCCATTCCATCGATACCATTTGTCGACGAGAACCCGGCACAAAGCGAGACAAGGCGAAGCGAAAGAAAAAAGAAGAGCCCAGGGCGCGGCGCACCTGGCCATCAGTGTTCTTCAGACAAGGGCAGACCCTGAGCCGTAAGCCCTGTCGCCTGCCGACATTGAGTTTCGCGGTGTCGAGCTCTGTCTTGGCCGCCTTTCTCAAAGTAAACGAGGCGACAGAAGGGCAACTAGCAGATCACCAGCGGCTTGCCGGCTTGTCTACCCGTCCCGTCTGTCGGCCATTGAGCCCCTGGCGGCCAGAACCTCTCCTTTCGGCTCCTCTAATTTACCCATTACCGCGTTAGTCCTTGGACGAAGAACAGGACACCCCGATAGCGAAAGCAGACACGACTCTTGTTCACCTCGGCGTGGTTTCCTTGCAGAACCAAGTGCAACCGAAAGCCAGCCAACCAGGCCTGTCAGTTACCCGTCAGTCCAGCACCCCGGTCCCATCCCCACCGGGGAACAAGCGGCCGGTATCCCGCTGTCTCAAGATTCAGAAAGAACCTAGACCAGGTTCTAGAAGGACGGGGCCTACTCCGGCGCGCTTGACTCTTGTCTTTCAGCGGAAAGTACCTCTACACCGGCACGCTACCTGAAAAGAGACTTGCACACCAGCCGCCGAACCCTCGGCGAACTTGCGAATCGACGGCGAATTTCATAATTCTTGTGGCGTGAACCGTCAGCAGCAGGAGCCCCTGACGAAAGACGAGCAGCCAAGACCCACGATTCGGCAGCAGTCGAGTCGTTGCAGTCAGCGGCCCGGCCCACTCGACCAAGAAGAGGAGGATCAACGGATTTTTAACACACAGGTCAATAATAACTGGGGAGCTCTTTTGCGGTCTTTTTCTCTCGTGTCATTGAGGCTCCGCACGACGTCGACCGACTCGTTGCTGGCCATCAATCAGTGTCCGGGCGTCAGTTCCAAATCCACGCCCTTTCCCTACAACCATTTGCTTCTCTGCCATCCGTACGGGCAGGGAGATTGATTGTCTTCTACCAGGGGTCTGGTTCCTGGGGCATCACCTTCACCATTTGCTCTGCAGGGTTTTCCGCTCGCAGGCCCCTCGTTGGTGTCCGATTCCTCAGTTCGTCGAGCAGGGGCGGACGGCAAAGAACGACAGAAGGGGTCCACAACGGCCACTGACTTCACAAGTTGACAGTAGAATACTGCGGCTTGACCCTGGTACCCGTCTGGTAAGCCCGTCGGACTTGATACCTGTTTGTCCTGCGCTCTGGGCTTATCTATCATCGAGTGTCAGGTGGGAGAAAGCCAGACGGCACGTCTCCGAAGTTTGAGACAGGCATTGGACAAAAGAACAGCGAGGACAGGCGTTTGGCGACGAGCTCCAAGTGACCCGTGGACAAAGAAGCAGAAGGGAAAGAAAGAAGGATTTGAGTGGGTTCGGGGTAGACGACTATTACGGCACCGGGCGTCCCGACGAGCTGGATAAGGGGCTGAGCGAGGCGTTTCTTGGTCTCATTCCTTGTTGTGGGAAAGTCGACTACTGCAGCCACATTCGTTCTCAAGAACTTACTGGATCTTGGATCGCTGCGCCGCGGAGTCCGAAGAAAGAAACGAGCAGAAGGACAAGTTGACGTCGTCAACATCGACGCCATTGTGGACGGCTGCCAACCACGAGGCCACGACCAACAAACCAAGTTTTGTGCCATCAATTCCTGGGGCGATTCATTCGCGTTGCCCCCCAGTCTTGCCGGTTTAGTGGCTCCTGTCACACCAGAGCCAACAAAGCTGAAGAGGAGACATCGTGGAGCTGTGACCAGTCCGCCCGGGTCCAAGTGCAAGCTTTGACAACACCAAACGAGGAGACGGACAAACGGAAAACGCAGACAAAGTCGACAAGACAGTGCGCGGGACAGCAAACAAAACAAATACACCCACATAGACAACAAACCGCCGTCATCCAGGTGGCTTGTCTGGGAAATCGGACACTGGCAAAAAGGGGGCTAGTGTGCGTTGTCATTGTCATTGTCATTTAGCAAGACGGACGGCGCACCAACAGAGGTCACGAAGGTCAAGGCAAAGCCTCCGACGTGGATCTCCTTGTCGGGGCTTGAGTCGACGATACCACGTTGTGCAGTGAACAGGCAAACACGGGCCAATTGGAGGTCGGAGAAACCCCTTCTCATCTGATTGCCTTGACTGGGGGGAGCCGTGGTACCGCCCAAACGGAATCTCCCTCCCGGTGTGGATAAGTGAGAGGAGAGAGAAGGCCTGCCTGCCTTTCGTTCCTGGACCTGGACCTGGGCCTGGACAAGTTGGGTCGCTTGCCGCGCAGGTTGCCCTCAAACATCTGTACGTAACCAACGACAAGCGCACACACACATACACATACACACACACGAACGACACGATAAGGCACTTTGGGAGTCAGCAAACGCAAGCACAGCACCAAGTTGGAAGCAGCGCAGTGAGCTGACCCCCTGGAGCGGATGCTTTTTACTGCCCTGCGCTTAGCAAGCAAACAGCAGCCCGCCGCCTAGCTAGGCCGAGCTAGATTGGTTCTATCGACGTGAGACGTGGCGCCGAGCGGGAACACAAACCTTCGTGCATCTCTCTGGTGCGGGCACACTGAAGTGGGCAAAGCAAACAAACCGCCACAGCACGAGCAAGGAGCAGCATCCAGCTGGTGTTCAGTGCTTCCCGTCACCGAGGTCGAGTATCCATCCGGTTAAACAAGACTGGCGGCCAGGAGAGCAAGCGGCGGGAAGATACGTCGACTTGAGTGACGTGGGTGCCCTGCGATCCGGTACAGGTACCTGCAGCCCGCCGACGAAACTGCCTCTGATCACCCACTACGGTAAGCGGCGACAGGTGCTGCAAGGTACAAGTCGACCAAACGAACCTGTGGTGGATCTTGCCCATCCCCCCCGCCCGCCCCCCGGTCCCGTGTGGCCTGGTCTGGTCTGGTCGGGTTGGGTTTGGGTCAGTGTGGTGTCAGTGTGGACGGAATACCGCGTTGAGTGTGAGTGTGTTTGCTCTCTCCTTCTCAGCCCCCCTCTCTCTGTTGTCTGGGTGGTTCTCCAGCGTCTGTTTGTTGGCTTGTTTGTCCCGGCGGCGGAGGTGCGAGTGCTCTCGTTTGGTTCTGCTGTCTTGGCCATTTTCTCGTCTCCCGTCCCGTCCCTCCCACATGCCCAAGCCGTCATTCTTCCCTCGCTCGAAGAGTACTGTACGGATACAAATCCTCCTTCAGTTCCTTTCTGGGGTTCTGCCAATTTTGACTAGATTCGTTGGAACCACGGAAGGTTACCCGGCTGCTTCTCTTCCCTTCCCCTCGCTTCATTCCCACGTTCCATTTTCCCTCTCTTCTTGTCCCTTGCCACACACCCTCCTTCTGCACCACCGCACCGCACCGCACTGCTGCACTGCGCTCGCTGGACTCGGCTGGGCTGCACGGCACGGCTCCAGGTGTCAATGTGTATCCAGAGAGCATGACACCTTTGCAAGATTACCTGCCTGTTCCTGCCTGACCCCATTTCCTGCTGCTGCAAGGTACGTACACTACATGCCAGTACGCTAAAGCAAGTTACACTAGTCCTTCTCCTAGTGAGAGGGAGACGGAGAGAGACGGAGAGAAAGAGAGAGCCTTGACTGCGGACAAAGTACCGTCTCTCCGTCTGTACTCTGTGCAGTGGGGTTTTTGAAGTTTGGAGCATGCCAAATTAAACAAAAACACATGCTCCCCTCTCTGTCTTCTCCCTCTCCCATTGCCCCCCCCCTCCCCGTCCCTTTCCGCATACTCTCTCTTCTGCCCCCTCCCCGGTACATTTCCCCCTCCACCGAGCGAACACACCCCTCCCCTCCCGTCCCCTCCCATCCCCTCCCAATTCCCCCCTTCAGCAAACCCCCCCTTCCACTGGGTACCTTTTGCCTGCATCCACATCGTCTCCCTCCCACCCCGGCAGAGGTGACAAGAGAGCAACGACAAGGTCGTAGTCGGGACTCTCACAGGCCTTGTCGACATTCCTCCTCTCCTTTCCTCTCTTTCACCCCCTCCAAGGAAGAGGCAAAAAAGTCACTCACCAGAATCCACCCATTGTTACCAAACCCAAACGAATCCACCCCGGTCTCGTTCGAGCTGGAGCTGCCACCCGCGAGTTGGGTCTCGTTGTCGTCCTCCCGGCCCCAGAAAGGGCAGGGCAAGGAAGAGGACGAGGGCCCAAAACCAAGACACGAGGAGACGACCAGGACCCAACTGACCCAACTGACCAGAGCCACAACCACACGCGCAACAACCGGGTCCCAAGCCCAAGGGCCCCAGAAATCCGTTGCCGCATCCGCCTCTGGTGCTGCTCCAGTTTCTGACGAAGCAGGCGCGGAAGCGGAAGAGTTTGCAAACATGTCCCAATACATGTACACCAGCGTCGCCCCCTTACCTCCCGTCTTTTCTCGCATCGATTCGTCCAGACCAAAGACTGCGACGTCCTCCTCCTCATCCTCATCCCCCACCACCACCAATAATCAACCCGCGGCCGCCTCGACAACGTCGCCCGCTTCATCAACCTCCGCCGCGACACCACCCACACCATCTTCGTCGTCCTTCTTCTCCAAGGCGAACCCGGCAGACTCTTCTCGCCTGCCGTCGCAACAGAAGCCCAATCACCGCAACTTCAGCCAACACCATCCGTCGGCCCGTCTGCAACACGCCCGCACCTCGTCGTCGTCCTCCGCGTCCCGCTCCTCCCACGAGACCTCGACGACTCCCACCTCGACGACCCCCTCGATCCCGCAGGCTGCGTCCCCCACCGACTCACGCACTCCCGCGTCGCCAACGTCACCCAAGAGGCTCAAACACAAACATCACCACTCGCTTCAGGAGACGCGTGTCGGCGCCGAACATCCTGCCCGCACGCGAGCGCCACCGCGCCTCCGCAAGGAAAGCGGCAGCTTGAGCTCTTACGCGAGACTGGCCCTCCAACCCCCATTGTCACCCCTCGTCGGCCTCTCTCCCAATGAGTTGAAACATGTCGCCATGCTCGTCGACACGGATACCTCGGGCCGTCACCTCGCCGCCCCCAAGGCCAGCGGGGTTCCCTTCTCCCGGACTGACAGTCTGTCGTCGGCCGCTCCCTCGACGACCTCACTGTCTGCTCGGACAATGACGTCGTCCGACCCCACCACTTCCTTTGACGCCTCCCGCCCCTACGCACTGCGGAATGGCCGAACCTACCTTTCCGACTCGTCACTGGCATACCCGTTGCCAGTTGACCTTCAAGAGATCCATCGCCAGTCGCTGCGCACATTGCTGTTGATACAGGTGTTTGGGTCGCCCATTTGCTCAAACTCGTTCGCCAACAAGCCACCTGCCCGCGTCCTTGAGGTCGCCTGCGGCTCGGGCTTCTGGAGTCAATCATGTCACCAGTACTTTGCCCAGCGAGGCCACTCGGACATTCAGTTTACTGGTATGGACATTGCGCCCATGGGCGCGAACGCGGGCGACGTGTCGCGCGACATGAAGTGGAACTTTGTGCAGCATGACATCCGCAACTTCCCCTGGCCCTTTGCCGACGGCGAGTTCGACTTCGTCATGGTGAAGGACCTGAGCTTGGTGGTGACGTCGCCGCACTCGCTGCAGGCCTCCATTGAGGAGTACCACCGCCTGTTGCGTCCTGGCGGCACCGTCGAGTTCTGGGATAGCGACCATCAGATCCGCATGCTGCGGCCCCACGCTGCGCCGCAGTCCGACAACGCGGAGGACACGGCCACCGTCTCGTCGCTCGGCGCATACCCCATCTCGGCCAAGACCCCGCTCAGCGCACCCCTGAACAACTTCCTCGTCGAGTACAACAGCTGGGTGCACCGCGCGCTCGAGGCCCGCAACCTGAGCCCCGTGCCCTGCACCCTCGTCGGCCCCATGCTGATCCAGGAGTCGGAGGAGCTGACGGACATACAAAACAAGCGCTTGGCGATCCCGCTTTCCGAAGTGCGCTGGGAGCGCGAGGGCGTCGGCGGCGTCGTCACCAAGGATGGCAAGTCGTTCATCAACTCGGGCAAGGGCAAGGCCAAGGACAAGCCGGACGAGCAGAGGAAGACGTTGACCGAGGCCCAGGCGGCGCTCCGGCGCACGGCCATGATGACCGTCGTGCAGCAGATCCAGAGCCTGGAGCCGATCCTGCGCGAGGTCAGCGGCAAGAGCCAGGATGAGTGGGACGGCTGGATGGGCAAGATGATGAACGACCTCATGAGGGAGAACGGGACGAGCTGGGGTGAGTGCTTGGAGGTGGGCGCCTGGTGGGCGCGCAAGAAGGAGCGGTGACGGGAAGGCGCATGTGTGTTCACTGAAGAGAAATGGGGACGGAGTTTGCATTTCGCCTGTTGGGGATGTCTCCTTTATTTCTTTTCTTCTATGTTGGGAAACCGCTATCGGTCTACGAGGTCCTTGGCTCCCGCGCCGTCTCGTCTATCCTCCTCACGCCCCCGGGACATACCGCTTTCTCAGCGCCCGGTACCGTTTGAGATAATACCTGCATGGAGTCCATCAGCATCGTGGCATCGGAGAAGTAGCACTGGCAGCAACAGTAACAGCAGCAACAGCAGCAAGTATCAGGAACAAAAGGGAAGTGGGAGGGGGAAACACGGGCAGGAAAGGCAGGAAACGAAGGGAATAAAAGGGAAGGAAGGGGAAAAGGGCAGAGTTCCAGTTCATCATCGAGATACCCCATCATCATCATCATCATCATCATCATCTACATCTACATCTACTACATCTCCATCTATCATCATACCGTCATCTACCGGAAGGGTTATTTCTTGTCTTCTACGTGTTGTCATATACCCGCTTCAAACTGAACCTAGCATCCTTGTGCGTACTTTTGTCCAAGAGAAGGAACTTTGTATGAATGAATTGGAGGTGTTTTGTTCTTGTTAATATGAGACAGCAATGAAAACCTTGTCGACTAGACATTGTGTGAAGGCTTGTGAGATGCAGGGTGCGTGTGTGATGTGTAGATGGGCTAGAGGAGAGAGAGTTGATGGAGAGGGGAGCGCCGCGGTGTGTACTGTCTGTACTGGGAATGTGGTATGGGACTGTGAGGTGTGCCGTCTTCGCGAAGACTGCTCTCCTCGGCCACGTACTGACGTGTCTGGTGTTTGCTTTGAGTGGGTTTGATCTGGATATGGGTAAGGGGAGACCCCGGATTCGGGGCTCAGAGCCCAGAGTCAAGACGACAACAGGAAGGCACCGTGGCTCCAACCAAGGAAAAGGACACTACTAAGCCCAACTGTGCTCTTGGGAGTATCCTGCCGAGGGGAGCTCACCCGCGTCAGGCATATGGAGGGCATGATGAAGTGGGAGGAGATGCGGGTCTCGATGGGAATTTGGCCACATCATGAGGACCTTTGCAACGGGATCGATAGAGCGTCTCGCGATTCTGCTCCGTGCCGTCCGGAACTGGGGGCGAGGGGAACTGGACCTCACGAGTGCGTGTCATGGGCATGAAACGGACTGGTCGTTCACGTGCGTTGCAAGGACTGAGAGCAAAAGATTGGGCGAGGGCCGGATCGCTGTGCGAGCGCAAGCGCATCACTTACAGTGCTTCAATTTCTGTCACGGGCGTAATGTTAGCTTCTGTTACGTTCTCCGGGTCTTTGAGGGCTTGTGTTTCGTAACGGGTAGAGTTGCGGCAGCGATACAAGAGACCCAGGCCAAGGGGGCCATTTGGGACGAATGGCTGTTCCTTGGGTCGGGGTCGCGCGGATGCCGATACTTGCGGACAGCGAAGGCGGGTGGGAAGGGGCCGGAACTGCGGTTGGAGAGAAATACTGTTGAGCAAGAAAGGATTGTCTTGCGGAGACTACATGGGTGTTTGATGATAGTCATGAGGTGACTGTGGGGGACAGATATTGAGGTCGTCATCGGCACTTGCCTCGGTGTTGAATATAGAAAATATCCCGGGAGCCGGGTAGGTGTTGCAGACCCAAAGTCATTGTGAGTGGCAGCTCCCGTGCGGCTGGGAGACTGACCGACACGCAACAAACAAGATCCATTTCCCGGCATGCCTGGCTCGCCGCATCGAAGAGACTCAGGGCAGGCGTGATGTGAATAATGTCTGGCGGCAGTGACCTGTCCATCTCGACGATGATGACGGTGTATCCTACAAATGGGGATCAAGCGGTACCAGAAGAGATAAAGAGGAAAGGCCAATCCCTTACAGTCACCGTGAACACAACGTCGGGGAGTGAAGAGAGGGATGTGTAGTGGTCCGTTTGTGCACTGAACGAGACAAATGCTTCTCGGAAGCGAGACATCGACGGGCAGGGTTGGCATCGGAGGAAGATGAACGTGGGCATTGAGGGCCGTGGAACCGAGGCGTGTGGTAAGTGAGCAAATGAGACGGAGTGGGAGCTGTGCAGTGAGGTGGATGACGCGTGATAAGGGGCTGTGAAGTTGGGCGAAGCCTGGGCATGTGTCGACGAGAGGTTACTTCCCCAAGACAAGACGGTCTAAGCAAGTAGAGATGCATAACCCCCTTTCCTCACAGACAGGTCTCCAAGCTTGGAGAGGAAGACAATCCAGGAGCGAACACCAGCTTGATGCTCATATGGGAATGGTGAATGGGTCGAACTTGGGGGATATCTTTCGAGGGCGGCCTGCCAGTGACATGTGTCGACAACACCACGGATATAATCCTCAAGGATAAAGACAAACCGTCCTAGCAGAGCAACCACGGGCCGCGTGCAAGCCAAGCAGATGGAGGGATGAGTAGGCTATTTCATGTGACGACTAGACACATGAGTCCCATGAGTGTGTACGAGTCCTGCTTCGCGGAGAAGGGCCATCCGTGATGCCATGGACAACGTGACCGGTGGGCACAAGAGAGGTTTGGCTTCAGTGGATAGCCTCGGGGGATATGCAGGGCGAGGAATTCAAACTGACTTATAGACGTGAAGAAAATAAAAAGGCAGTGGAAATCAGCATCCAACACTTGCTTGGCCATCCAAGTCAAAAAGACCTTGTCATTACCAACACCCTCTCTCTCACTCCACAGCACCCCTTCGAACCGCGAGACAATCAAAAGAAACAGCCCCGCGAAGCACGCAAGACGGAGCTCAAAGACATCGAGACGCAGACGAAAGAGAAACAGACATACCCTTCTTCACGTACTCGGCCCTCTCGATCCCCTGCTTGATGGCATCCTCGTCGCGCAGCCCCGCGTTGGCGCTAAAGGCCTTGTGCAGGCGCGGGCGGAAGTAGTCGTAGCCGAGGGGGTATTCGCGGCCGAGATGTAGGAGCTCTATGTAACGCGATTTGTCAGTGGACTTGTTTGTCCCTGCTTGAGGAACTGGGGGTGATGGCAATGGTGAACGGAGAGGTGATGTGTGCATAGAGTCTGGGGAGCTCCGATTGCTCATACATCCAGTCGTCGTTGATTCTGGCAAGAGTTGTAACCTGCCTCAAGAACTGGATCCGCAGTATACACCCAGCCCTCTAAAGATCATGGTAGGTGAGGAAACAAGCCTGAGCCATCCTGCAAGAGAACAATGTACGACAGTTGTTGAAGAGGCGATGAAGCTAGGGACTCGCCGTGGGGCATTTTCTCCCACAACAAATGGTGAAGGAGAGGTACAAGGTCAAGACTCACCCTTATAAATGGCGATAACCCGCCTACGCAGCTCTTTATTCACGGCGCTCATCTTCGTATGGCAGTGGGTTTACCGTCAAGTGAAGATGTCAGTCCAATGTTGGTATTGATAGTCCTCGGTGGTCCCGGCAGCAGCTTGGAAGCTCGGTGCCGGCGTTAGATGAGGTCGAAAGCTCGACGGATGATGTAACGGGCCCCTTCGCGGCATCTCACTTCCGCTGATTGGTTGGAGCTCTGGTAACATACCCACTCGTGTTGCTGCGTCAGCTGTTGTGTCGATAAGATAAGCATCCGACCTTATCCTCACGTCTCTAGGAATCGCGCCGCGTCCAAGGAGCTGTTCCTGAGCCGCAAGGAGCCCCGAGCAGCTTCCGCTGTCCATCTCTCGTCTCGTTCCCACCAAGATTCTTGCCCTGTCTCTCGCGGTATCCGAAATCTGGGCCACCTGCCCCTAAACATGCAACCCACGAGACTGCTTACCAAGCAAGCCGCGTCTCTGGTCCGCGCGGTTCCCGTGGGCGGCACACCCTCTGCGGGTGCAACGAGAGACCTAGGACGAGTCCGAGACGCTTCCGTCAAAGGCATGGGCCAAAAGCCGAGTATCAGGTACCATGCTGGCAGGCCACTCCTTCGAAGAATTGGCAAATGTCTCGCGTTCGGCTGCAACCCTCAGCAGACCGCTGATGCTGCTGCGCTGGTTCGCACGATTGTAAACAGGTGGTCCGGCATCCAGATGACCCTGGAAGGGCGTGGCACGCACGAGGACCTCGTGTACAAGGGACCGCTATGGGAAGGCGGCGACAAGAGCCTTGAGGCATCGCAACCGCCATGGCAAGTGAGTGGTGCTTCATTGAACCTCTGGCCCTGTGCCCGCGCTCGCAATGCACACTAACCAGTTCTCCTTCGTGTCCTAGGGCCTTGGCCGACATACCCAACTGGCACGAGTAGCTCAGCAGGCCGCGGTGCGCTTCCTCGACTACAGTCGTGCGACGGCGGCCCCCGAAGACCGGGACCAATGGCAGATACTTCGAAACGAAAAGATTCAAAACGACCCGCATTATACACCGCGATTGATGGCTACCGGTGTCCAGTTCAGCCATGTCCTCGTTCGCTTCCCCTTACCACTCTCCCTGCATGCCAAACACTCGCTGACGATGCTGATAGAGCCGCATGGAGCAACCGCAACTCGTCAGCGCTTGTGCCCGACTCAACTACTCCTCCAAGAGCTTCCTTGAGCAGGGTTATTTTACACTCAAGGTCTTCGTCTGGTCACATTTGCACATGACTAGATTAGCAGAGGTCACTCTTTGGGTGAGATACAACCGAAACGCGGACCCGGCCATGGCGCAATTCCTCGACAGGGAATTGAGGCGATTACTCACACTTGGCCGGGACCCAGCGGTGTACGACCGGGTGAGACAAGAACATGACGCCGTCTTGTCGGCCATTGATAAACTAGAAAAGGAGACCTGGGATAGGCACGATGCCGTCGAGGATTTTGGCACCGCCTCCTCCGACTAAGGCCTGGACACATGCTGCGGGGTTGGTTTCACGTGGTGCGGTGTGTCCCGCGGCAGGGCGTAGTGTATATCGCACGACACCCGGGAAAAATAGCCTTGGCCCACAGGTGTAGGCTAGTGTAGATCCAGGGACAATGAAGATTGGGGCACTGCGTGGTTCACCGCGGCGAGATGCTATCAAGGCTGTGCTGCAATCTCGGGCAAGTTGGTGGGAGTGGATTCTGCCAGTGGACGAACAGCGCGAACCGGGACAAAGGCGGGGGACCCTCGAAAGGGAAACCAAATCCGTCAGGGGCCAACCGCCTCCGATGCAAATGCAATGGCTCGATGGCTGGAGGAGAATGAGGCTCCTTGGCTCCGGACGCGACTCGCGTGATAGATGCTGCTGCATACCAGACGATGAAGCTGGGTCGGAGAATCATTCGGAGAGGAAATTAGGCGTTGATAATGCCCACAAATGTTGTTGCGAACCGCCAAATGTAGCCGATCAACGACACAAATGCTTGTCTGCATTGCGTGGCAGGACTAGCCGTAAGAACGCCACATGCGCACAGATGATGAACGATAGGGTCCAAGGGACTAGAATCCAAAGATTACAATCCATACTATTGCCGGCCTGAACCGTGGGAAACCCTTCTCAACCGTACCAATCATTAGTTGTCGCTTCCATATGTATCCCACCATTGCTGTGTGGTAAGTATACTGGTCAGATACAACCGCACTCGATGTTGGACAATGGCGTGCTTTCCACGACTCCCCTACGGTGGATGGATGGTAGGTACTGCTTGTCGAAAGCCAAACGATACGGCGGCACGGAACCAATGAAGTGGGACAGGTTTACAGGTAAGTGGGAAAAAAGGAGAAAGGGTAAAGATTATCCCTTGAAGAAAATTTTTCGAGGGGATACAAAAAAAAAAAAAAAAGAAAAGAAAAAAGAAAAAAAGGTCTACTTCTCGGGCGCGGTCCACGACAACTCAACTCGGCCTCGTGCGTGGCCGCTGCAAAATTCGAAATTGACTAAGAGGGGCAGAAAGCCCACCAAGAGATCCGCATCGCACGGAGCCGCCCTAGCGCTATTACGTTGTGTCGCCTCACGTTTAGGTGCGTTTCCGTACAGGTGCGTTTCCGTACTCCGTACTCTGTACTCGTCTGCTCGCTTCGGTTCTGTACCTGTAGAGGGGGGGCAGCACGCAAGCAAACTGCCAGACCGCCTTCAACGCTTGCTTCCATCTTGACGCCACAGTGCGAAGTGGGCGGACGGCGAGGGGTGCTGTTCAACGTTCGACCCCGCTAAACAGCGGCAGGAATATAACGGTCTGCAGGGCACCAATCAAGTCGTGCCAGGGCCGTAGACCGCCAAGCTTTCCCTTTCTCGACGTGATGGAGGGGAAGCTGGGCAAGGAAGGGGGGACGATGATGGATGGCAAGGGAGGAAGGGCTGTGAGGTGCATGAGAGGAGGCGTGTCGTGCTTGTGCTGCAAGAAGCTCGCGCCATGAAGCTTATTCCCGGGTAGTCTCAATGTTGGGATCAGTGAACGGGACCCAAGTCGCATCTTGACTCTTGCTGCCTTGATTAGAGTGGTCGTCTGTTTATCGAGCGATGTGATGTCGTTGACGCATTTGAGTGATTGATGCAGCAGCGGCATAGAGACGCGGTGACATCGCCTCTCCTCCCGTCACGCGCTCGTCCAACTTTAACGATGTTAGAGCCCCAGAAGGGGTGATGTGTGCCACTGACTCTCTGCAGAGTGCTCCTTGTAACCGCGAATCAGACATGGCGTCTGCAAATTGCTCCCCACGGCCTCCCGAGTCAGCAGTCCACTTGGAGTGAGCCAGCTGTGGCATGGGAGGCAATCTGGCAGGAGGGCGCCGCTGGTAGCGGTCAAATGCCGACAGGCAGATCGACTTGCTTTACCGCTCTGCGCCTAGCTCCTCTTCCCGCTCTCGTTGATTATGCTCAGGACCCACGGGGACCAAGTGGGGGTGGATGGGCACCTAAGGTTGCATCTGCCAATTACCTCTGTCGTGACTTGTCGAGATGGTGGGAGGCCCCAGCTGGAAGCTGTGCCTCACTGTGCCTCCTGGGAAGTCATCGTGATCGGAGGATAATTAGCTAAACAAGTGGAGATGACGGCAATAAAAGCTTGACCCTGCGAGCATGTTGTGGGCAAGGCCAAGCGACGTGGGACTCCTTCGTTTTTTTCTCAATGCCGTCCCGTCCGCCCCGCGAGTTCCGTAGGCTTTGAAGAGGGTTGAGGATGTAGGCAAGTAGGGCTGACATCCAATGATTTAGGGGGGCGAAGTCAGTGTCGGAAGCGGTCAGCAGCCGGCACCCCTTCAGTGTCTCGCCGGCTGCTCCGGGCGGACGAAGAATGGTCGACGTCGAGCCCGTCGTCGTAAAGGCAGTATGTGCGGAGGCGCACTGTCTCGATTCCTGCCAGAAATGGGTTTGTTATGTTTCGAGTCAATGGGGGATCGTCGCCGCCGCTTAGGGAAAGGCAACAGAGACAAGGGCCATCAGAGGATACGGACCGCTTTGTCTGGGGCCTGCGACGGGTCGAAAACAGCGATGCGGACCTTTGGGCTGCGTATGCAAAACAGAGGACTCTCTGGCTTGGCAGGCCAGGCATTGTAGTCCTCGTTTGGCGTGTTGTGGGAATGACTCTGGGTGGTGGACGCCGCCGCTTCAATAGACGCAGCGCCCAGAAAGCTATGCATGCAGCATTCCGCGGCTGGCCAAAGATCGACGCAGAAAAATGAACCCCCCCCAAACCCCTCGAACCCCCCAAAGTCTATCGTTACTCTTGATAGGAGGGCGGCTGTTGAGAAGCTGCAGCTCTTGCAGCTGCTGAAGCAGTGCTCAGTAGGCTTTGTGAACGTGCGTGATGGTGCGTTGTTGACCATGAGACGAGACTAGACGAGCATGCATTGCTGCATACGAGTCTCACTCGTCTGCCTTTTACGCAGTCGTTGAGTCGTAGGCGACGTCGAGCTCCACCGACGATGCTCCCGTCCCGTCGACATCAGGTCGGTTTGTCTTTTCTCGATGCCATGGCAGCCACACTGAGCGATACCTAGACCATGCCTGCCCTGAAATTGAACGCTGGGCCGTGTTGTTTGGTTATGCTCTGTCAGGGCTAGCGTGGCGCCTGTAGCGTCGTGGAACATGCCGCTAGTGCCCATGGCATCGTCGCCAGTGTCCATCATGCTTTCCACTGTGCGAGGGGTTCAAGGGGTCATGGCTCTTGTTCACCAGGCTTCTGGTTTCGTCCCTACGCTTCGTGCCTTGTGTCTCGTGCCTCACCGGCGAACGGCTTGACGGGAACCCCGGTTGTCGGCGTCACAATGTCGATCGTGGGACGATTGACCACCGAGTGTCGGAGGCACACGCACGAAGCAATCGATGGCTGGGTAGGACCATATGTAGAGTGCAAAGGCGACCTCAGTAAGTTGGTCCTCAAAAAGGGCAACCCGAGAATGGGTTTTGGGGCGAAGAAATTTCCGTCGGGTTAGCGGTGCGTCATGTGGAGCTCGCCTTGGTGATCGTCGCTGTACACCTGGGGAACGGGTGATGGCGAGTAATCATTGGCCATCGACCACAAGCTTCGGCCGGGGCGGACAGGCGATGGTTGCCCTTGGGATGTCCTCGTGGCTCCTTTTATCCTTTCGATAAGAGACTTTGAGTACGCGGGGAGCTGCGAGAGCGGGGAGAGCCTGGTCTTGCGGCGACAAGGAAGCGGTGGTGTGAGAGGTGAGGGTAGAGTTGTTTCGACATGTGCGATGACGACGGTGAAGGGAATCGATCGTCCGGGCAGCGCAAGGCCCGACGTCCTGCTAGATAGGCCAGGATGGTTGCTGGCGACGAGCATGGCAGCGGCGTGCAACTCTTAACGAGCCGATTGACGGCGGTCTCGACACCCGTCTTGGGTGTTCCTGGGTGATATGCTGCCAGCCGCTATGCGTCGACAATACAGAGATAGAGATGCAGACGCCTCAGAGCATCTCGTGTGCTCGCGCAACGCAGGCAAGGTAGCCGAGTCAGTCGGTGAATTGGCGTAGGGGATGACAGCATCGCAGTATATCGATAAGACAAGACAGTTGGCAATATCAGCCTGCTAGGTAATCGGGTGGTTGGAGGATTGGCGAGGTTGGCCTACGAGGAGGCATAGCATACATCTGGGAGAGGCGGTGGCCGTCCCGACCGTCTCTTCTTTTCCTTCCACCGCAGCCGGATCATTATGCGAGCAGCGATTATGGATGTTGCGGAGGGCTAACGGCATGGATAACGGTCGGTTGGGGAAGCCGTGAACAAGACGAAGAAAAGACGAAAGGCGACGAGGAACCGAACTAGGGACGAAAGAAGAAATGGGAGGGCGGCGGCGGACGGGGATGTAGGGGGTAAGGGGACAGCAGGAGGAACAGAGTTCGCTCACTGTACTGTGTGATGGATGGCGGAGGATGGATGGATGGTTGTATGGGTGGACGGGATAGTCCTGGTGTGTTAGTTGAGTGCCTATAGTATCTATAGTATAGAGGGCGAGTTGCGATTTAGCCGGACGGGAAAAAAACGAAGCAAAACGAAGATAATAAAAAGGGGACAGATAAGAAAAGGCAGTATTTAGAGTTAGGACCACGACGGCTGACGGCTGATCCATGCGAAGAAGCAAGCAGGTATAGGACAGGATATGACAAGATAGGACACGGCAACACCGCACAGAAGGTGCAAGGCAGGTGCAACGGTAAGGCAAGGCAAGGCAAGGCAAGGCAAGCGCAAGAGCAAGGGAAGTGCAGGTGCAAAGGCAAGTGCAAAGGCAAGTGCAAAGGCAGGAGCAAAGGCAGATGAGGAGCATAGGCAGGAAGATTGGCATCTCGTGCGCATCGACTCATACAACCAACTCCGCACTCATCTGGCATCGGGAAGGGAAAGCACGACGATGATCGATGAGTGGGAAGGCACGACAACACACCATCCTGCCTGCCTGTCTATCTACATATGGTACATAGTATCTTGCCCTACCGATGCGCCTCATCCAAGATGCCGCCCGTAAGACGCAAGACGCAGAACGAATGATCCTGTAGCACAGCATTTCTCGTCTTTTGCTTGTGCATTTTCCGACCCGACGACTGGTCTGGATCCATTATGAGAACCAGGGCCTGGACATTGGGACCTGGTCGTGGAGCAGCTGCTCCATGCAGAGCGCAAAGGATGTGCATTGTCGGCGCATTGCCAGACCAAGCCCTATCACACCACCCAGACAGACGAGGAGAGGATTGAGGAGAGGCGGCGTTAGTAGAGACATGCGGACATGAGACGGCGATGGAGCGTTCCTCGACTGGAAGCCACTAGCTGGAAGCCGCTGGATAGGATGAGGATGAATGTATGTACGCACTATGTATGTACGATTTTGTAAGCCATGTCCTCACACGTCTCCATACCCTACCCTCCTCCCCCTCCATCGTGGGCCGTCGAGTGCGGCAAGGCATCGTCAGTCAGCACTCATCTAGCTGCTTCAGGATCGGTGGTCCCCTGTAATCTTACTCAACCACTTCGAGACCCTGCCTCCGACCTCCCTCCTCGGCGTGGTCCTGCCAGGCCTCGAACCCGCTGCCCAAGGGCCCAGAGGACAGCAACATGAGTAGCAGCAGCAGTAGCAGCAGCAGCATCATCATCATCGCATTCTTCTGATCCGTCTCGGTGTTGGCGGCTGCCGGCGCCGGGGGTACCCCAAGATACATGCATACCACACGAAATTGCCCCTGGGACTAGGCACAGTTTGGCCGAGGACTAAGTATTGCCCAGGTCGAGATCCGAGATCCTGATCCTGATCCTGATTCTGATCGGGGGGTTAGAGGCATGGGTCCTCAAAGACAGCCCTGGCCAATCAGAGACGAGGCGCGGCGGAGTGCTCGAGCTAGACCCCACAGCTTCGTCTCCACATTTCATCAGGAGAGGAAGGAAAGGAGGGGTACGTACCGATGTGCTCCCCCAGTGTGGCAGTACGTACCCACGCATTTGGCACCAGACAGTGCGAGGCTTGTACCTCCGCACCTTCCGTGATCCCTGTTCTCATCCTTTTCACGCGCATTCTTTTTTAAAATAAACTCGAAGCAGGGCGCTCTCTCCCACTGCTCCGACTTGGTGCCTACCCCAGACGTCCCGAGACTGGTTCAAAGGGAAATTGTGAAAGAGCAAGGAAGGAAAAAAATCAAGAGACGAAAGGGCATAAGAAAGAAAAAAAAAAAAAGTGAAAATCAAGACTTCCTAAACCAATACTAACGCCCGCCGCCGCCGCCGCCGCCACCAACACCACCAACACCACCTCCACCACCACGACCACTGCTACATACAGCACGCCCGACTCGACCAGACAGACATTCTGCCGCTCGACGCTGACACTTGCTGGCTGGCCGACTCGCTCACTGGGTTGACTGGCTACATATCTGCATTCAGCATTGAGCAGCAGCAGAAACAATAACAGCAACGCAACAGCACACAGCTCGGTTCTTACCCGAACTCGTGCCGTCCCTGCGCACCGTCCGCCCACTGCCATAACCTACTATACTACGGCTACTACTACCTTACGTGCCTTAGCATTACTTCCCTTCTACACTACCTAACTACCTTGCTCTCCGTACCTGTCGACTTTTTTTTTCTTCCCCTTCTTTTCTTGGTCATCGCTCCTTACCAAACCCACCTACCGAACCTTTCCCGACGCGAGGATTCCGTCTTAGCTCACATACTTTACCACCACACAAACCTTCCGTTCCCAGACCCGCGAAAAACAACAACTCTACCTGCCATCATCACCACCACCACCACCACCACCACCACCACCGCCGCCGCCGCCGCCTCGCTGGAACCCCCGATTTCCCACCGTACCCGACGACGCATGAGGCCCCACGGAACCCCCCGGAGAACCCGTCGCTTTGCGCTCCCTTTTGCGTCGAGTGTATAGTTTCCCCCCCTTGCCGCCTCATCGTCCCGGTCGCTCTCGAGACGGGATACCGATCCGTCACTCCCCCCCTCCAGCATCCAGACCAGTCCAAGTCGTGCTGCTGGCGCCCCCCGACCTGCCTTGCAAGGCTCCCGGGTCGGAGGACAGCAGAAATAGGTGCAGCGCATGCCTCGTGCTTCAAGTTCCTCGAAGCGACAGCAAGGCGCCGCCAACCAACGCGATACCAGGCACGAAAATGGTCTTGTAGGCCCCGCGAAGCGAGTCGCCAACAAAAAGAGCCAGCCGAACCTCGACGCCTCTGCCCGGAACACCCCCGACCAGAATGCCGCCGCCTCGGTCCTCCCCTCGTCTCTCCCCAACGGTAACGGCTCTCCTCACGGCAACCCCAAGAACGCGACCCTCGCTGCCGCCCACGACACCATGGCCCCCGAACACCGGAACGGCGACGCCGCTGCCAGGCGGCCCTCGCTAGGCGGATGCTCCGAGACGTCGTCGTCCGACTCGCTCTCGTCCACCTTGGCCAACGGCGTCGTCGACGCGAGCCATCGCCAGATCGATGTCAATGCCACCAAGAACGCCGACGTCCACCGTGACCCCGGCGGCCCCGTCGAGTTCGCCGCTACCGTCCTGAGAGCTCTGCCACTCTATGACACCCTCGCTATCCTCATCCTGCTCATGCAGGTCCCGCCCGTCGCCCTCTCCGGTATCTACATGGTCTTCACGTTTCTGACCTTTGTGCCCCCCGTTACCACCAGCTCCGGAATGAACATCAACCTGGCCGAGATCTTCGACTACAACTCGACCATGCCCTCTCTCGTCACGGTCCTATGCATGGATGTTTTCATCCTTCTGGTCTGGCTGTTTCTGTGGCCGACCATGCAGCTTGCCATCCTTGACTTTGCAAAGCCCGTCATCGCCGCCACGCTTGGCGGTGGATCAAACACGAGGGAAGGAGCGTCGAGGAGCGTCACCACCTGTTTCTTCCTGGTCATAGGGTCCCATTTGCTACGCGGCTCTAGGTTTCACTGGTCTCGAGCGGCCAAGTTCCTCCCTGCCAACTGGCGGTTCTCGCCCGATTCCGACGACCCGTTAGAATCGTTTACCCGCGGCTTCGACAAGAGAGGGCCGCACGGGTGGATCAAGAGCGTCCTCGCCATACACATTTTGACACAGGGCATAGTGCGATATATCAGAGAGTGGTATCTAAGGAGAGAAAAGGGGAGCGCGTCGGCACACAGCATAACAGACCCGGAAGCAGGCAAGCCGTATGCCACCGATACGGCCGCCGACGCCGGGTTTGCCACGCCAGACAGCGACGCGACTTTCCAACAAAACGCAACAGTATCATCTACAAAAAAGAAGAGGAAACAGAGCACACAAGTGCGCCTCCAGCAGCCGCTGTGGGCGGCCCTGGCAAGCACCAAGATCGTCATGGTCAAGGAATACGAGTTATCGCACGCGACCTCCGAGTCAGCTGGCTCCAACGCTACCGACATTCACAATCTGGGGAACGCCCCGTTCGACAGCCAGGCTGAACAGATTTGGATTTCCTACATCGGTCACGATGAGGTTTGCTTCAACACCAGTCACTTCCCCGACAGCCCTAGCGCTGCGCCGAACGGCCACGTTTCACGGCCGGCGGGGGTCGACACTTCGAAGCCCTTTTACGTCCGAGTCAACAATGCTTTTTGGCAGCCGACACGCATTTTCCGCATCCAAGACGACGACCAGGACGAGCAGCCCGGCCACCACCGGTGGTGCGGTGACATTTACGGACTGCGACCGCTGTCCAAGTACGTCTGCGAGTTTGTCGACACCTGCACGAACCGAGTCATCTTTTCCACCAGCATCCGCACCTCTTTTGCCCAGAACAAGGACCAGGAGGGCTCCGTCAACCCGCCCGTGAGCACGCCGCAGTCCCTCCGCCCGGACTCGCCCGCTACGACGCTGAAGAGCACCATCAACGCGAACAACGAGCGGCTGGCGGAGGAGAAGTCGAGGCTCAAGACCCTGCGCAAGGAGTGGAAGAACAAGATCAGCTCGCTCAAGAAGGAAAACGAGAGACTCGACAACGTGATCCAGTCGGCGGGTGGCAACGACGACAAGCACAGACAGAAGATTATCCAGCAGGAGAACACCAAGGCCCAGTCAGAGAAGGAGATTGCCCAGCTCGAAGCGGATCTCAAGGCGTTTGAAACAGCACCGGAAGGATTCTACGAGCGCAAGAAACAGACGGAGAAGGAGTGGTCCGCCGAGAAGGCTGTCTTCGACGCCGCGTCCAAGGAGTTCAAGGAGCATAAGGCCAGCATCGCCAAGGCTGTGAAGGCCAAGGAGGACGAGCAGGCCGGCATGCAAACCAAGCGGAACAAGATTGCGGCGCGCATTGCCAAGGTCGACAACGAGCTCGGCCGCATCACGGACGCCAACAACCGCGGGCTTGACGAGGCCGAGCGACGGCGCCAGGCGCGGGCAGCGTGGCAGGCGGAGACGTCGACAATTGAGAACAACTTCCGGGGTAGCATTGCCGACATCAAGGCGGCCAACGCCCTCAAGCAGGAGCAGGTCAACGCGCTGCTGCAGCAGCTCCAGGCGTACCACGAGCACATGAACTACGCCACCGCCGCGTCGATGCCCTTTGACATGCCCGAACACCACTCCGCCGCGCCTCAGACGTCCACGCCCGCCTACAACCCCGCGGCGCCCGCCTGGACGCCGACGTCCGCCGCCGCGCCCGCATCGCAGTACGTGATGCCGGGAGCCTCGATGTGGCCCACGTCCATGATGACGGGGTCCGGCTCGGCGCTGCCGCTGCCCACGAACTCGACGCAGTCGGTCTGGGGGTACCCGCCGCCGCACCACAGCATGATGTCTCTCAAGGCCAGGGGTCGGTCTTCGTCGATGCTGAGTGACGTCTCCGGATTCACGCAGTCGAGCAACGGCGACGACGAGTTCCTGTCCATGCACAACACGCCTGCGCAGCAGCCCACGGCCCAGCGTACGCCGGTGACGTTTGCCTTTACGCGGCGTCAACGCAGCGACGGCGCCGGGTCCGGCGGCAGCAGCGTGCACAGCGGGAGCGCCAGCGCCAGCGGCAGCATGCGGGATCCGCAGAGCCCGATCTGATGCGGCGACGACGGTTGGCCAGGGAAGAGAAGTCTGTTTGTTTCTTGCCTTGTTTCGGTAGTCTACTTTTATCTGAAAAGCTGGGAGAAAGAGTTTGCTGGATCATTCTATACTTGTAGCGGCGTCTGTCCTCTTGTCATTGTGGGTTCCGCTCGAGCGGGACATAACGACGTCAATGGTAGCACGGCGGCTTGGAACGGATGTCAGTAGCGATTTTTCATCTCGCGAAAATGGAGAAAGTTGTGCCTTTGTTTAACCATCTGTCCCGGCCCGTGCTGTGCTATAGTGTAATGTGCTGTGATGTGATGTGAGGTTTATGTGACCACCGAAGCTAACCACCTCGCAATGTCGGCGATGCAGTCCTGTCTTGTTGGATGAGGCTTGCTGGAAGCCTTTTAGCTTGACGTAGGGTGCTCGAGCCGACTCGGCCCATGTTCCCCGGGTGTTGGGGGGGACACGCTGCCGCTTCCGCTGTTCATCCCATATCTTGGCTCGGCATCGTCCCGGTAGTTACGACGGTGGTGTAGGTGGTATCGGACGCCCGTTCTTTAACATAAAAAGAAAAAAGGTTTGAGCCGGGCGCGCCACGCCGCTGCCGGAAGCCTTGGGGGCGCGGCTAATGTATGGCGTCTTTTGCCTGTTCTGAGGAGGGGATGGTGCTTCTGAGAGTGCTTGGTGCCTTTTGGGGGATGGACCCGACCGAGGATTTCGGGATTCTGTGGTTTGGTAGAGGTTCACAAACGTTCTATCCTGTCATGCGAGCGAGGCGAGGCGATGCACGAGGGGAGATGTGTGAGTTGACTGAACGATAAGGGCAATGATGATGAGTGTGTTGGGATGGCGTCTAGGCAGATGGTCAACATGGCATGTGGGCACATGTGCAGCATGTCCCTGGAAGTCAAGAGCTCAATCAGCGGGAGGTTAGGATACGGAAGACAATCCTGGACAACTTTGGCGCGCCTCATGTACCAAGGTTCTTTGGGCGTTGTCGGTAGACGACAATCAGAGGCATCTCTTAGCCAACGGACTACATTTCTCTACGTTCCTCAATGTTGAATACGAAAAAACGGCCCGAGAAACAGTAGACATGAGAGACGGCACTTGCACGTGGACAATGCTGTCTTGTCTGGTCCTCCCATCACCATCTCGACCCACCAGGGCGCGCCAAGCAACGCGTGGAATAGGCTCTGCATCTGCAGCGCAGCCGAGCGGCCTGGCACCCGGCCGGCTGCCGTGGTTGCCGGGGGCATGTCTAGGTAATGCTAAGCTTCCGCGCCCCCGAGGCTACTGTCTGTGTCTTGCAAACCCAACCTTATTCGAGGGGGAGCGGGTTGCAACTGTGCATGCCCCCATGGACCGAGAGGTTCGAGATAAGCGCGCCGAGAGAAGGCAACGTTTTTACCGCCGTTGACTCACTGCGAAGACCAGCAGCACATCTCGGAACTTGCGGACGGTTCCTCGGCCACACGTGCAGGCGATGGCGGGCTTGAACGGCGTCTCGTCGGCGTCTGCGGCCATCTGCAAGCCTTACTGGGCTGCGAGGTTGCGCGCAAGCAGACCAGGATGCAATCGTCGTTGGAGCTCGTCCCCTGCCAAATCCAATGGCGAGAGCGGCGGTACTCGACTGCAGAAAAGAACTTCAATGGCGCGGGGAGGGGTTTTCGTGCGCATCTGAGTGAGTCACGTAAAGCGTCCCGCCCCATTCGTTCACGTGTTCTTCAGACTCTTGAGAGGCCTAGATACTTCTCGCAGGGAGAGGTGGACAACACCTAGGATACACCAAACAGAAACGCAGGATGCAGGCCAGGGGGGGAGCGCTCCAGAAAAGCAAGCAGGATAAGAGGATAAGAGGGCGGACGAGGGGGTTCGCTCGTGCGGTAGCGTCGTTTCTCGGCGGCTACGCGCATACGAACTCACTCGGCTCGTCGGGCATTGGTAGACGGGGGGTTGCTTTTGGGGGGCGTGGTTGGTGTTTCTTCGTCGTTCATGAGTTTTTTTTTCGTCGTTTATCACCGTGTACCTGTCTATTGCAGGCAGGCTCTGCGGGATGCATGAAATATTGAGCATGAGATGGAGAGAGCGAGAGAGGTTGGTTTGTCTGGCCTGGGGACGGGTTGCGCATGTATTCGCTCCCCCTCTCTCGATAGGCGGCGACTCGTTTAAGTGTCTGCCAATGGCCACCGACGGTTGATACGGCGGGTTTGCCTCTCCCGATGAAATATTCGCAGAGAGACGCAGCGCCTGGTCCGGCCATGCAACCGACGGACGATCGGGGGGGGGGGGGGGCTGGCTAACCCGGAGTGGGCCTGCGTGCCGGCGCAAGTGCAGAGGGCCCTGCGCGCGAGAGAGCGGCGGACTGGTCGGCGGGCGACGAATCGGAGGGCGTAGACGGGGGGTTTGCTGGATGAGCAGAGACGCCGTTGGGGTGCTCTTCATGGGCTCAGATGTACCGTTTCGGCGTCCGGTATATGGGAAGAGTACTTGCGAGAGAAAGACATGAGTCTTGGCTTCGAGGGTGCATGATGATAGGTGCGGGTTCTTAGCGCGGCCATTGTGACCCCTCTGCTTGGGATTCTTGGAGGGGGACCTGGTCCGGTAGTGAGCGCGAGTTGGTGTTGATGGAGGGGAGGGGGGAGAGAAAGGGTGTTTATGAATAGTAAGAGAGGGCTCTAAAGTCAAGACACATGATGCCTTTTCCCTGCCCCTGCCGCATCATGGCTCGGCAATAGAAGAGTCGGCGGGCTCCATTCGTTTTTGGTCTGTTTGGTTTCCTTGTTTCCCCTTTCTCTTTTGGCCGATAGAGTCTTGGATAGATGGCTTCCACGGTGTGATTCCCGCCTCGCAGCCCACGCCGTGCATATATTTCCATCTTGTCAAGCCCTCGACATAGCGGGGGACATCCCTTCAACCCTCCGTTGTCTAAGCCTCGCAGCCGCGGCAGATCGCCACCAAGCGGCTCCAGGCCTCAGCCGCATCTCCAGCGTTGATCCCTTTTGTTCGTACTCGCTTTTACGTCTGTGTTTCCCAACGGGACCGACAGCACTGGCAGGAGAACTGGCGGGGCGCAGCGTTTCTGAAGTCGTACGACATCGAGATATCCATCACCTTGTTACGAATTCGTACCGTCGCCTACCTTGCCTCGTCCCATACGGTGGACAGACGAGGCACCGTGGACACCGCTTTGTTCCGCGACGCGTTCAGCTGCCGCAGAGTTACCTCAAAACTGAGATCATCCCTCTCATCGAGGTAAAAACATCCGAGGTGGGGAGACCAGCAAGCCTCCCACAAGACACCGAACGCCTGGCTACACGAAGTGGACGCCTGCTCGTGTCGCCCTCTCGTCGTTTCTTTCACTGACCGCCTTGGCGGACCCTCATGCCGGAAACTTGGCCCCTTCAACACCCCGGCCAAAAGACATTGAAGGAATCTCTTGCCATTCCCTTTCCCGACTCTTTGCCATCCGCCCTCCCGTAAGTTCGACTGCTTGCAGAAACTCAACCTCGCGCCAAGACTCGCCGGGCTACATCTTAAGACGACAAGGGTTCACCAACTACAGACCACACCTCAGTCTAGAGGTAGCGTATGCAGACACACACCGCATTCAGCTCAGCCAAAGTGGATTGAATGCCACCGCCGCCATGGGCTTCTTCGACCGCAAAAAGGTCAGGAAGGCCGCCCCCGAGCCGGTGCCGGTGCCGGTCAAGCCCGCGCCCGTGAGCGCCCTGGGGCACTACCACGCACCGCCGCCGCCGCCGCCTTCTTCGAGATATGCCACGTCGACGACGCAGACGCCGCCGTACTGGCAGCCTCGACCGCAGCACCAGGCGCAACAGGGGCAACATCACCAACCCCCGCCCCCATACTATCACCCACAACCACAGCAACAACACCAGGTCCAGCAGCAGCGCCCCCAGGGATGGTCTCAGTATCCCCAACGGGGCCAGTACCCTCCGCCCATCGTCGTCAACCAGCACTACTACCTCCACCCGCCGCCCTCCCACCTCGCCCTCCCCGCGCCGCCCGTGGCATCCCACACCGGCGCGGGCGCGAACCCTTACTCTGCCCAGGGCGCCGTCGCAGGCGCCTCCGCAACGTGTCCCTCAGGCCTCGACAAGTTCGCCGGCTCCGTGGTGACCATCGCCAAGGACTTCACCTCGCCGCACTTCCTCGAGGAGCCCAACTTCCACCCGCACGCCACCCAGCTCATCAACTCCACCGCCGCCTGCGTCGACCAGATCGCTGGGTGCTTCAACGACGTCATGACGCTGATTGACCGGGAGCGGCTGGTGGGGAACGAGAAGGCCCTGTTCTCATACCAGAATGGGGGCCCACCGCCAGGGCCCGAGGGGGATGGGAAGAGAGGCGGTCCGGGGGCCGGCGGGGTTGGGAGGGGGGCGAGGGAAGAGAAGGCGGGCAGCGGCGCGAAGAAGAGGACCAAGGAAAAGGAATCGTCGTCGTCAAAGGTGCAGTCGACGGCCGTCGCTACGTCGGTGGTCTCTGGGAATTATTTCGCCAAGGTGGAGTTGTACGCCAACTCGAGGTTGCCCATGAACCTCCCGCCGCTGAGACTGTGAGTTTTCTCTCCTCATCGGCAACCCACGGCCTCGCAGTCTGGACAAGGACGAGAACGCTAACACCCCCCAGATACATGCCTACCTGGCCCCTCCTCTGCATGGCTGCGCAGTACGCCGAGCGCGTCTACGAGCACCCCAAGGGCGCCGAGCGCGACACCCACGTCTCGGCGGACTGGAAGACGGGCACAAAGGCCATGGTCATCAAGTCGGTCCCCATGGACCACATGAACACCATTGTCTTTGCGATCCGCGGCTCCGCGACCTTCATGGACTGGGCCGTGAACCTTAACACGGCGCCGGCCTCGCCCGCCGGGTTCCTCGACGACCCGGGCAACTCGTGCCACGCGGGGTTCCTGACGGTCGCCCGCAAGATGGTCAAGCCCGTCGCCGCGCGGCTGCGGCAGCTCCTCGAGGAGGACCCGGGACGCAGCTCCTATAGCCTGCTGATCACGGGCCACTCGGCCGGCGGCGCCGTCGCGACCCTGCTGTACTCGCACATGCTGGCGACGTCGCGCCAGGCCGAGAGCGAGCTCAACATCCTGACGGGGTGCTTCAAGCGCGTGCACTGCGTGACGTTTGGTACGCCGCCCGTGAGCCTGCTGCCGCTGAAGCGGCCGGACCGGCCGGAGCTGCGCAAGAGCCTGTTCCTGACCTTCGTGAACGAGGGCGACCCCGTGGCGAGGGCGGACAAGGCGTACGTGAGGAGCCTGCTGGAGCTGTTCGCGTCGCCGGCGCCGGCGCCGCCGAGGGAGAGGAAGCAGTCGGGGCAGGCGAGCACCGCGCTGGTCGTGTCCGGGGCCCGGAGCGGGAGAAGAAGGCGAGCGCGGGGAGCAGGCTGGCGGCCAAGGCGAGCAAGATGTCGCTGAGGCCGAGGGAGAGCAAGGCGTCGCTCGTCCACGCGCCGCCCAAGGAGCCCCGGGACTCGTCGGAGAGGGACCGGGACGGTAGGAGGAAGCCCGTCTGGCACCTCCCGCCGAGCACGCTCAGCTCGCCCGGCAGGATCGTGGTGCTGCGGAGCGGCAACCCCAAGGCGAGGATCAAGGACAGGAAGACGGTGAGCGAGAGGCTGGACGAGGGGGTTGTCGCGCAGACGGTCTCGGACGAGGAGTTGAGAGGGGTGGTATGGGGAGACCCTGTGTGTCACGTCATGAGGCTGTACTCGGGAAGAATCGAGACTTTGGCGGTTGGGGCTGTCACTGGGAAGCATGGTTGAGCGGGTGGAGTAATGGTCAGGTTGAAGAGGTGGGAGAATGGTCGACAGATTGCTAAAGACGGCGGGGGAACGGAAGGAGTGAGATGTTGAGGGACGGCTTGGCGGCGTTTTTTGGCTTGGTTGATACCATTGCTTCATGATATTGAGTCTTGATACCTTTGATGAATAACGAGTTATGATTACATCTCCACTACAAGCTGTCGATGGTTGTAAGGTACCAGACGCGGTGCCATTGTGAGTAACTACCTGGAGAGTCTAAGGAGTGATATTCCGTCGATCACGCGCTGAAGTATGCTCAGAAATTGGCTGCCGCCCTTGCACTTCCTTGATCGTTGACAGCTCATGCTCCACGCTCAACTTAAAAATCCGCTTCAACATGTACAGCCTCACACTCCATAACATTCACAACTTTGACTTTAAACAAAGACTTGCGTACACACGTCGAACTACACCAATCGAGAAACAGATGAGTGTGGTTCAATAAGGGCACATCGTAAGTGGAAAGCTAAGCAAAGTAGTCATCGCAAACGCTAAGCCAATCGCTCAAGTTCAGAGCAGAGACACAGCACCCGTGGACTCATTCACCATTACGTGCTTGATCCCGTTTTGTTCCAGCACCTTGGCCGCTTCTGTCGTAACATTGTAATTCCAGTGGTAATCGGCACATTCGCGGGAAAAGGACTTGTCGGGTTGCCCAGGTCCTTCACTCTCTCTCTTTGGCGCCATGGCTCTCGAGTTTTCGATTACTCGGCGAACCCGTCCCACTCTCAGTGCGTTGTACATGCTCAGCCTGTCTTCTACTTCGTCACGCAAAGCGTGTTTGAGGAGCACCCGGAGCGCTTCTGCGTCCTCGATAGCCTGACACGCGCCCTGGCCTTGGTCTATGAATCTGTTAGCGCGGGCGTCATTTTCAGTACGATTTGGTTTTACGTGGTAACATGGCGTGGGCGGCGTCGCCAATGAGGCTGAATCTGCCTTTGACAATCTGTGACAAGGGTTCTCGGTCACGCAGCGCCCATACGCCTACGTCTTCCGCCATGGAAAGCATCTTCACCACGGCGGGATGGAGGTGCTTGAATGTCTCCACCAGGTCGTCCACCGATACCTTCGTGTCCCACTGGTGGCGCCGCTCGATATCGTCCGGAAAGATGCAGGCAAAGTTCAACGTCTCCCAGCCTGCGCACGGGTAAATGACGATGCGGTACGCGCCGTGGAGTATCATAATGACCTTGGCGCAGTCGACAAACTGAGCAGTGTCCACGTCGTCACGAATAGGCTGGCTTGGGACCATGAATCGATAGGCCGAGAAGCCGGTCTTTTCATATGGCAGAGACCCGAAGACAGACGTTCCGGAAGGCGACCTTATGCCGTCAGCTCCGATTATGACATCGCCATGAAAGGTTCGCTTGTCTCGAAGATGGACGGTGTTTGACTCCAGGTCCACGTGCTCAATTCCGGCTCCCAGCAGTAGTTTGGCTGGCATTCCCAGCCCCTTTGGAGATAAGGCGGCTCTCTTCAGCTCTGTGTGGATGTCTTGTCGAGAAAAGTACCACCAAGGCGCGCCGTATCTTGCCTCAACGGGTGCCATCGGGAGCTCTGACAGAACTTTGAGAGATAGCCCGTCCACTTCTTGCAACTAGTAAGGTTGTCAGTGCCGACATTCTCAAGGATGTTGATTCAAGACTGTTTGCCTTTTCAGCTTCAACGTAACGAGCCAAAGCCGGGTCCAACCCCGCCCGCCGGTAGCTAGAGTTCAACAATCTCGTGGCATTCATTGAAAGCGTGATGGCGGCGCCCATTTCCTTGTTCGAGTCCGACGCCTCGAGCACCAGCACATCATGGTCCTCTCTCAGAAGAAGGGCAGCGGCGAGGCCGGCGATCCCCGCTCCACAGATGATAATACGCAACCGATTTCGAGACGCCATCTTACGAGTTGGTTTCTACAGCTTGATAGGATTCGGACGCAAGGGCAATACTTATAGCCCTGGACGAGTACATGTACAACCTATATACATGACGGTGGTCTACAGCTTAAACATGGACCATGTCAAATCTACGACCAGGTATATCGTGCTTGCGGGGAAAATGTAACAGCGATGCTCGGGGAAGATCACGCCCCCCACACGGGGGCCCGGGAGAGGGTGGAGTGCATTGGCGCCCCCCACCGGGGCGAATTCGGAGCTGCGAGCGGTCCGTGTGGGATGCGTGTATGGAAGTACCCCATGGGGAAGCATCGGCTTCAAGGTATAACATGTAAAGGAAGTACCAGCTGGTGAGCACCAACGCATGTGTTTATCTTCTAGAGCTGGCTGAATCCAATCGCAAGAGTTGGCCGCCGAAATTCAGCATCATGGCCTTGTGCATAGTTGACATTCCGAGTTTGCTGCATCAAATCCGTTCTCATCCATCTATTCTGTTGCCATATTTCTTGATCAGCATTGTCGTTTTAGTATGTATGAACACACTTTGGACCGTCATCTGGAACTTGTTTTTGTCTCCCCTGACAAAGTTCCCGGGACCTAGGATTGCCGCTTTGACAGACTGGTGGGAGGTCTATCATACCGTTCAATGTATGTTCCAGACCAAGACCAGATAAGCGCGATGCTGACAGCGCTACACAGGTGACAAGTTCAAGGTGATTCATGAACTTCATGTCAAATTCGGTCCGGTGGTGCGAGTTGGACCAAACAAGTTATCCTTGGCAACGCCTGAGGCGTTTCAAACCATCTACAACAAGAGATGTCAAGAGTTTCTGAAGTCCGACTTTTACGCCACTATCCAGCCAGGAATCGGTCCAAAGTACTCTGGACTCTTCAATTATGTTGATAACCAGCAAGCAGCCTATGAGAGGAAGGATTTGCAAGCGCAACTCTCGCCGGCGGCGTTGCGCCAGTATGAGCGGCGGTTCCAGCCCATTCTGGCAACTCTTGTGGCAGTTATGAAAGAAAAGCGTGAGCTGGATCTCTTTTTATACCTGTGAGTCCATATCTTTCTTGGATATGTGTGCGTTAGACTCACAATTGGAAAGCAAGTTCCTCATGCTGGATACGATTGGCGATCTCGCCTTTGGGCAGTCATTTCACCAGCTTGAATCTGGGCAGGAGCATCAGTACTGCATCGACTTCAACAACGCATTCATGGTTATCGGGCTGGTGAGTTACCCTTATAATCTTAAACATCTCAACAAAGGCGCGCTGATGTAGTTCGATCTAGCAAAACACGTTCGCATGGCTGGTCCCATTGATTCCGTATTTGCCCTTCCAGCGGCTGAAGGATGCGACCTACGGTCTTCAAAGAGTTTTCAAGTACGCCCAAACGCGTGTGGATGCCTTTTTGAACGAGGAGAAACCAGAGTTCGGCACACTTATGGACGCTTACCTCCAAGATGGAAAGCCCAAGCGTCCCTATTCGTCGTGGTCGATCGCAATTGCCGGGCACGGCTTCATGTATGTTACCAGTCACTTCAGAACTGCCTTTCTTCTTCAATCTCTCTTTCACTTAGAGTCTGCGCTCTGGAATATTGGGTATTGACTGTGAAAGTGTCGCCGGCTCCGAAGCCACTTCCATTACTATCACATACGTAATCTGGTTTCTTATCAAGCATCCCGAAATCTTATATCGGCTGCGAGAAGAAGTGGATATGCTTCCAGCATCTTATACTGGCGTGGATTTAGCGGCACTTCCCCTGATGGATGCAGTGATTAAAGAGACGCTTCGAATCTACCCGCCAGCTCCTTCTTCCATGCCTCGAGTTGTTCCGCCAGGCGGATCAAAGATTCAGGGAGTGTGGTACCCTGGAAACGTAACCATCCCCGAAAACCACTTCAGAATAATAATTTAGCTAACGGATCCTTCTTCCATCTGCAGACAATTATCGGATGTCAGCCGTACACTGTCCACCGCAGCTACGACCAGTTCCCAGATGCAGAAACTTTCCGCCCCGATCGTTGGCTGGAGGGGACTGCTGAGAAACGAGAAAAAATGAACAGAGCGTTTGCGCCTTTTTCGGTGGGGAAACGAGGGTAAGATCAAGTCTATCTGAGAGTTTTGATATTGCACATAGAACCCACTGACACAAGGGGACGACCAACAGATGTATTGGGCGTGGCCTGGCATGGCTTCACATGCAGATGGTTTTGGCAAAACTACTTCAAGAGTTTGATAGGTTCGACTTGACTGAGGAAATGACTGACCATGACATGGAACTGGTTGAGCGGGGGCCCTGGCGAAGCCTTTGGGAACGAAGCTGATGGTCCGGGTGATGCCAAGATAGCTGCAGATTGTTTGACTCGCAGAATCTACTGGCTATTTCAATACGCCATTCGAATTCTCGTGTCTCAAGAAAGGCCAAGTGGTGCACATTCGAAGGTTTCTAAGGGCATTGTTCTGCTCACAGGTCACCGAAAGCATTTACTTCAGGTACTCGTGTCTTTGTTTATACTTTATTTATGCTGTGCCATCATTGTCCACTAGTTCTTCATAGTCGAGGTTACCATCTTGTTGGACACATCCGCGGACAAAGACTAATTCCAACAACCTGTAGGCCGATCCTGCTGCATCGGATATTACTTGTCAGACTGGTGCAATGTCGCAATTTCCCCCACATACACATCTACGCTTTACGGCATGGATATTTGCTAATGTCATGACACTGCCGTAATAGAAGCAATGAAGACGGCCTGCTTCCAAGTCGCCCAGGACTTAATGCCATCGTCACACTTGAGTTACACCTTGGTTCCAGGTACTCAATCGCAACCCGGCTCAGCTTTGTTCTCCCTTTTGAATGACAGTCCTATTTACAGAACATCTTGCAGCCGGTTTTTGTTTTACTAAAATAAGAAAAGCGCTGTCTGCTTGCCATCCGATGCTGATACACGGTGCAGCTAGACGTGGTATGTTGCGGAAGGCTGGTGAGAATTGCGGTCAGATTTTGAAACCTGCCACCGCGTTGGAATCAATTTCCATCTTTACCACTTACGGAAAAGGCTTAGGTGCGGAACATGGATACGACGACCCCCAGCCCAAGGAGCTATGGACCATGGACATGTTGACGTTGTTCTCTATTGAGCCGCATGTTTTGTTGGGTTGCATAGCCCAAGTCAAGTGGCACGACGGCTGGAGACACAGAGTGGAGACAATCTCGATGGAGTAGCAGTCGTATTATCGGATCAAGGGTCTCCATACGTGAAAACGAGGAGGAGATGCTGCTCTGACTAGAAACCAGATGTCCATACCTTATCGCATAGCAAGAGCGTTGCAACCAACCCTCGCCGTAAGGTTTAGGCCGGCAGTCCAGTCCCCAAATACCGACCCGGTCAACCAATTGCCAACATAGCTGTTTACCTCTTCAGGCTTCTCCCACATCACCCAGTGCGTGCCATTTACCACGCCTCGGGACAAGCTGTTGAAGTACGTTTCCATCCCTGTCGACAAAACCGGAGGCAGCGCCGCGTCCAGCGACCCGCCGATGTACAGCGCAGGCTGCGCGAACTTAGCCGTATACGCAGCGTCGTCTGGCACCAAGACCAGTTCGTCCTCCCAGTTCAGCTCCCCGGTACGGTACCAGTTCAGCGTTCTGTTGAAGGGTTCACTGACATAGTTGTCTACGTAAAAGTCCAACTCCTCCTTGCTGAGCAGCGGCGTGTCTTCCGTCACACCGTCAAGCAGCTCGAAGGCCAACCCGTTGCCGCTGGAGTTGAACGCCCACTCGCCATTGGGGAGAGTAACTCCGTAGATGGTGTTTAGGATCTGCCGCGCGCGCGTGGCATTCTGCGCGTCGCCGAGACCGATATAATCTTGAACAGCATCCGTGCGGAACTGCAGCTGGTAGTGCAGCGTGGGCAACGCGAGGGCCTGGTCGACATAGGTGACACGCGGAGCCGCAAAAGGTGTGCTGATAGCGAAGAAGGCAGAGATCAATTCTGGGTGCCAGAGGGCTGCGCGGTAAACTACGGCTGCGCCCCAGTCGTGTCCGCCAAGAATGATGCGAGACAGACCGAGATGGCTGGCGAGCGCGGCAATGTCATCTGAGGCGCGCTTGAAAGTGCTGGCCAGGATAGTCAGTCATCGCGGATTCCTAAAGTTTCTACTCTTGCGGCTTGGAACAACTCACTAGAAGCTAACATCTTCAGGCGCATCAGTCCCTCCGTACCCCATCATATCTGGGGCAATGACCCTGAGGCCCTTGGAGAGGAGGAAAGGGATCTGGTGGCGCCATCCCTGGGACAAGTCGGGCCACCCATGAATGAGAAAAATTGTGCCAACTACTCTGCCCGACGCCGGCTCTGCGTGGATGTAGTTGTACTTGACGCCGTTCAGTGTGGCGGTCTGGTACTTGAACTCACGGTCTTGGACGGTTCGGACGTCCATCTTGGCCAGAATTGAACGAAAGGTGAGGCTGTTGGTGATGCTGGTGTTACAAAAGACGACCGAGGAACCATTGCCAACTATTTAGTACTTACGATTGACCCTCAATCGCAAACAGTGGAGCAGTCATTGTGGAGGCTCACCGAGGTTTTTTACTCATTTTTAGCAGGAAACCCCCCTTTTTCAACGTTTGTTTATTCTCATTTCCGCTTTCTCGGCCAAAAGCCCATTTTAGGTTATATTGCAGTAAGCGGAAAACTGGAGACGTTTTTTTAACATGCACGTCCAAGTCGCTACCACGACTTCGCGGTTCTCATGACTCAACGCAACGGCATGCCATCCGGACACCCCGGTTGAGAGGTCCTTGCGTGTATGGCACATTGTAGTCGCAAGTTTTAGAGAGGAAACAGTCAGCCGTTTACCGAACCAAAGACGTAAGGGTCATCTCGTGTTCTCTACTGATACGCAATGATCAATTGATGCGGTAGGAGCTACTTTGAAGATCGTTTAGGTCTTTGCTTGATGTCAGTAACGCTGAAGCCGGCTGGGATCCCTTGCGACGGGTAACTGCTGACAAAGCGTGCTATCTAGGGTCCGATTTTGAATCTTAGTAAGATCTTAATTGTGACAGGCTTGTAGATTATGAAATTGCTGACGTTCGAAGCACTTGCAGTTTTGTGAGTATGGTTCATGTGGTAGCAGTCGTACGTAGTATGCTGTATCGAGCCTTCCATGTGTAAGTCAAGTCACCCACTTCTGGGCACCCCACCCATGTGGGCACCCACAAAACGAAGCTATCGCAACAACACCACCCTTTTCAATTGACTATCGCCGAGGCCCAGATGCAACTATGATACAGCTTTCTGCCTCACTAGGGCAATCAGATGCGCTGGATTCATCTGTGTCAATTTCAGCATCGCCAGCCTCGATCTGGGCTTGCCGTATATCGCTGATGTTGGCGAACTTAGTGTTAGGGTCGATTTTGACAGTCTTCCTTTTCCTTGCTGTAGTGTTGCTGACTTGGGCCTGGAGAAGCTGTATCTGGTGGTGGGCAGTAGCCAGCTGGAAGGACTGCTCTTGGAAGCCTTTTTTGACCTTTCTGAAGAGCTGGCGTTGTGTGGCAATACTTTGATCTAGCTTGCTGAATAAGTCTAGTTGACTATTAAGGTCCCTTATCTTCCTAGGCGTAGACCATGCAACAGCAGATGAAGCAGATGCCCATCCCTCTATATCCTGGGCATCCTGGATACCCTGGGCACCTTGGACAGCCTTATTAAGTGGTGTTGCTGGTGTTGTTGCCTTGGGCAGCAGCAAAGAGCTCATAAGAGGTTTATCCATAGTAACAGGCCATAGTCCAGTGTATTTCCAGCCACTTAGAATATTCTTTTTCGTCAGCCCAGCTAGGCGTACCAGCTAATAACAAGATAAGAAGTGTCTTTTGCCTACTATAGTTGAATCGTTCCATTGGCTGAGGTTAGGCTGGAGCCTTTTGCGATAGGCTGCCTTGACTGGGCTAAAGACTGACTGATCTAGTGGCTGAAGGACATGGGAGGTATGTGGCGGCAAGAATAATAGATGGACGTTATTAATATAGCATTGCCACATGAATTCTGTCGTTGTATGGCTCCCATGCCCATCCAGGACCAGCAGTCTGGCCTGATCAGGCTGGGAGGGGGCAGTCTGCAGCAAGAAGACCTTCAGCAGCCACTCAACAGCAGTCTCATCAGTTGTCCATCCATTCTCTGTTGCTGTAAACTCCCATCCATCATAAGGGCCAAGATCTAGAGGAAACCACTGCTGCTGGACTGTCTTGCCCTTATATATCACAAGAGGATACAGTGCCAGGCCATCAGCTGAGATACACTCGATAATAGATACCCAGGCTCGCGATCCAGGCTGTTTTTTGCGTATAGACTTCGTCTCTGCCCTGCCCAGCACTAGCCCATTTGCTCCTTGACCCTCAAGGATACCAGTCTCATCCATGTTATATCTGTTGGCTGGCTGGATGGCTGATATCGATGGGATCGCAAGATATTTAAACCAGTCCCTGATAATCTCAGTAGATGCCCTATTAACACGTCTAGAATCAATAGATCGACTTCTCTGGACCTTGATAGATGGGTTTCTTCGTACAAAGGCGTCTATCCATCTCTTCCCTAGAGGCTGGGTATCGCCCATGGCATGGAGGATACGCTGGGCAAAAACCTTGACTTGTTGATGCGTTGGCGCAAGCCCAAGGTCAGCCTGTATCCGTACCCAATTGGCCAGCTTAGCCTCCTGACTAACAGAGAGCCGCTGGAGGTCAGCAAATGCGATATCTCTAGGTTGGATACCCTTGAGGCGATTCTGAAGTGTTGACCGAGGGACGCCCCATTTCCTAGATGCTGCCTGGACAGGGACGCCGTTGGCGATATCCCCAAGAGCCTTGCTAACCTCATACTCGGTATATTGACCCATAGGGTATAAAAGAAGGTATCTGCAAAAGATGAAGTGATTTGGATAAGGGATGAAAATGTTGTGATAGTTTGAAGTGGGAGGCTGGTCATGGTGTTGAGGGATTTTTGGGGTGCCCACATGGGTGGGGTGCCCAGAAGTGGGTGACTTGACTTAGTGACTAGGGGAAGATGCTGTTTGCTGTGCAGTCGCATTGTTGTATTGAATGGTGTTCGAAAGTTCCGGTAAAACAGCTCAGAACTTATTTCACAGAACCCGGCGCAGATGTTTTCAATGCGATTGACGCTACGGAGCTTAATGAAGAGGCTGAGTGACGGGGTTTGCCCTATGTAGTGGACTTGTGTACCAATCTCATTGGGTGAGTTCTAATCTCATCCAGTAGCTCTATCAAAGCCCATCGCATCCCTAATTCAAATTCAAGCGTAAGAGGGAAAAGAGATGGAACGCCGTGGTCTACAACAGCCACACTGATCAAAAGTTGATAAGGCTTCCCAGGAGTATATCTTTCCTAGCAACTAAATTCTTATCGTATGAATTACCGTAAGTATTACATTCATGGTACTAGCAAACAACTCTGTTGCCTCATTTTTAACTTGGATGCGTGTGGCAGAATAGCTCACTTCCGCTATAGTGGTGGCTTGCTTACTGCCCCAAGAAATCCATCGCTTTGTTTCGTTAGACTAGCTTGGTTCAGACTTGGGGAGGCGCAGATTAGATGCAAACGGACTAGGCAGGGAGGGAATGGTTAGTGTGCCGCCAGTTAAGAAGCACTACATGAGTGACTTGAGTCCATTTCTATAACCTAGAAGAGGGGATGTGTTGGAGTTACTTGGGATGTATTATGATGCATTAAGACTATCTAATCGTAAATGGAACATGATCTCTGTGCACAAGAGGGGAATAACGAGGAAACAGGTTGTATTCTAAATAGATGTGAATGATCACCATGATTGTCTTCCAGCAACGACACACCCGTAGGCTTCTCGAGAAATAGATAGTAGCCACTCAGTTCGCTTTCGCGTAGCAATATGCTTATTCAGTGAGAGCCCCGCCGTAGCCTTTGAGACGTGGCGTACGCACCATTTAAGGCTGGCTAATAATCAGGTCCAGGCTAAGGTGCGGCTGAAAGAGCGAAGTTCAGCAACCCGCCTCCAGTCTGCCTTATTCTTTTAATAAAAGCCACGCCTGTGGGCCATGCTTGCGTACCAAAAGAAGGTCTGAGATTGACCCTTCAAGTCTATGGATTTTCTTCTTGAACATCACATCATCGCTCGCTCCCTGGCACCTATCAATCAATCGATCATTTAGACATGTGGTTTGCTGGGTCTCCGTTCCAACGCTTGGTAGCGAGAGATTACTGTGACGGGGTGGATGGCAAAGCTTTTTGGCCGGCAGCAGGGGAAACATATTACCTAGGATCCTCTTTGCTTGCAAGTTGGTTCGCAGGAAAGTCGGCCAACTACGCCAACACGACCACAGCTCTTTGGAACGTGTGGCTCCAGGACGCCAAATACGAGGAGAAGACGAATGCGGGTGTGAAAGTCTTCAGGGAAATCATTTACAGTTAGTCTGTCATCTTTTGTCGAAGCCCGTTATGATCTCATCTAACTAGCATACCATGCTGTTATTACAGCAAGAAATTTTACCTTCAACGTTGAAGGTGAGAACTGGTGGTGGGTGCCGACCGATGTTTGCAACCAAACAGTGGTGTCCTGTATTTGGACGGTCCCCAAAGATTTTGAAGCAACTGGCAATTATGTCGTAGTTGCCATCCGAGAGGCGGCAATTACCACAAGTGCTTCCACCGCAACCAGCGGACCGTTCACAATCCTGGCATCTTCCGAACCATCGGCGTCGGCGACGGCGACACCGGCTTCTTCCATCGCTGGCACCGGGGCTTATGGGACCAGTGTACTGCCCGCAGAGACTGCTGTTGCCTCACCTGCCGTCGGTGACGATAATAAGATCTCTGCGGGTGCAAAGGCTGGGATTGCTTGTGGGGCAGTCGTAATTCTGTTAGGTATAGCTGGACTGTTGTGGTTCTTTTGGAGAAAAAGACATAACAAGAAAAGCCTCGCTGCATCTGCTGGAGCGGCTGGTGAGAATGATGGTTATAGAAAGCCAGAGTTGGACGGACAAGGGGTGGAAATTGTGCAAAAGACCAAGGTTGAGCTCGATAGCAAGCTGGTCAACAGGGCGGAGTTAGACGGCCAACAGCCGTGGGGGAAAAGCAGTGTTACGGCGATTTCTGAAACGGAGAAGAGCACCGTTCGTGTTAACGAGGCACCTATAGCCGAGTTAGGGGCCGATTGGCCGGTTGCAGGCAATGGCGGTGCAGAGGTGCATCTGGAACCCAAAGTTAACTGACGTTGGCCCAAGTTTAGAACTCACCTTTCCCTAAGCTCTGAAGAGGGTTCCTATCTCTACAACCTTTCATATTGCTTTAACAGTTGGGAAAACGTAAAAGACTAGCGACAAGGCGGCCGACACACAGGCGTTGAAGAAGAAGCGGGTTGTTTGCCGCGCATGACTGATTGGTTGCTTGTGCTAGATCCTAATGTTTTATAGCTAGACCGCGTACAATCCCTACGCCTTCCAAACTTGCCCAGTCGTGCCAACCAGTTTTCCATATTCCTTCCGACCCTTGAAAATTCTAGACCAAGTGTAATTGCCGTAGCCGTAGCTAGCTTATGATACAGAGAACCCTGAGAATGGTTCATGCCAACGAAGCTAGTAGTCTTCTTCGTCTCCCTCGTCATCAGACTCGCCCTCGTCCGCCATGCTCATAAACATTCCATTCTCATCATCTTCTTCTTCCTCGTCCTCATCGTCTAGCTCGTCATTGTCATCTATGACGCTGCCCTCAGAGCCACCCTCAGACTCAGAAACGATGGGGTTTCGCTTGCGGTGCGTCATGAGTTGCTGGGCGAGAGACATTTTCTTGGGTGCCGCCGGCTCTTCCTCCTCCTCCTCCGGGCTCTCATCCTCCTCGGACTCTTCTTCGTCGGATACCGGGTTTTCCTCACGATTACGAGCGAGCTTCTCGGCGAGGGACCAAAGCCTCTTTGTGCCTGCCTGTCCATCCTCGTGGTCTGAGCCACTCTTTATCTCAGCATTGCCGACATCTGCACCGCCGTCATCTTCATCCTCATCCTCATCATCTGAGGGAAGCACTCGAGCACGTCGCCCTGAGGGTCGCATAGGGTTTTTCGCCTCTTCGTCCTCCTCATCGTCGGAGAGCACGACGCGACCGCGACGGCCGGTACTCTGTGACGGCTTCTCGTCTTCTTGCTCCTCATCTTCATCGTCAGAAAGAATCACAGGACCGCGCCGGTTTGCGCCGCGCCCTGGCTCGTCTCCCTCGTCTTCGCCCGATTCTTCGTCATCGTCGGAGGACGCGACCTGACGCGCTCGTCTGCCACTCAGCCGCGGTCGATCATTGCCAAACTCTGGCTCCGGACTGGAGAAATGGGCCGTAGGACCCGAGCCGTCAATCATCATGCCACCGTCCTCATCCCTTAGTGGAGAAAATCCACCAAAGTCAGATGCTCCGCCTTCCTCTTCGTCGTCGCTTTCTTGTCGCGTGTCAATCAGTAAGTCGTCTTCATCTTCGTCGACCGACTCCCCGTCAATTGTTGCGTCATCTATGCCGTCACTTTCGTACTCATTCTGGTCAGATGAGTCGTCAGAATCATTAGATCCATCTTCGTCATCGTCGTCTGACCCATCCGTAGCGGGCATGTCCCCGTCAGTGACTTCGTGCTTTGCCAGAAAGGCCTCGAATCGATCAGCAGCTTCCCAACCGAAGCACGTCATCTGCCAATAGTCGATCTCGCCGAGACGCGCCACGTCGTCGTCCTCCATGAAGTCTGGGTCATCTTCTCTGATTTCAGCTATTTCCGTCATGGCGGCCTCGCATAATTCCGTCAGCCCAGCTTTATTTTGTGCAAATTCGCGATGTTTCTCCACATCCGGCCAGCAGTAGATAAAGTGCAAGTCTTCACCGGAGTGGACGTTCTTCTGAAGCTGCTCGATCTCGTAGCGGTGGATTTTGTCCGAGGCGCACCAATGCAACCTATGCGGTATGCGTCGGTCGCTGTGCCAGGCGAAATCGAAGACATTCTTGAGGTTCGGAAAAGCGAGGAATAACCGCATTTCACGAGGGTCCAGCTCGGAGGTGTCTAGTGCCAGATTGACGACATTTTCCGAAAATCCTGGCACGTTGATGTTATGCTCCCAGCTCTTCTTTTGGCCGTTGAGGTGGACAACATCTCTTTGCTTGTGGAAGCGCACTATGCGGCGTCCCTCGCGGATGGCCAGAGTGTCCGGAAAAGCCTTGAGGGCGAGTTCTCGGCTCTCGCGGTGGACAGCGAGCATCGCACTTGCTGCCGCGATCTGGTTCTCCAACGTTGCACTTTCCCATATGCTATCCTGCTTCGGTGAGCACACCGTTTGGAAAGAAATGACGCGTGGTAGTAGAGCGAGATCCGGACAGAAGAACTGCCAGATACGATGACGCAGTTCGATGGGAAGCCTGCGGAATTCCGGGAAGAAGGCGCGAGGAGCACGGCGTCGTCCTTCTCCCAGAATTGATTCGTCATCGGAGTCTGAATCTGATGAGTTGTCGGAATTGCTATCGCCTGATTCGGAAGCCTCGACGTCGAGGAAGTCAATGCCATTGCCATTCTCAGATCCCGAGTCGCTTCCGGGAGAATCCGAGTCGGAAGCGTCATTCTGCACGAGACCAACTCCTTCGGAGTCTGACTCGTCGGATGAGTCTGGCATTTTGGAAGAAGCTCTTGTTTGTGATGAGGAGGTTTTCTGTTTTGTCGAAGATTGGTTGTTGGGTCGAGAACAGGCGTCAACGCCGAAAGGAGGATGAGAATGAAGATGAGACGCGACCAGCCAATCGCCAGAGTCGAAAACTGATGCGCTCTCACGTGGGGCAGTACGTACCGGAGCTTAAGTGCGCCCCATCCGAGCTTCACCGACTCACCGAAAATTGCCAGGGATCTCACCTCAACTCTTTCATCACTAGATGGAACTCGCCCCAAATACTAAAGACCTACTCCATACGACTCTCTATACGACCATGCACCGTACAGCCAACATGAGTGGTGTGACGCAACGTCACCAGGACAACATCCCTTGGAATTTCATTAGAAATTCTCTCATTCATCTTGTTTTTCTAAGCCAAGACCGAGATTTTGTCGTAATGGCTTTACACTCTACTTGTATTACCAAATTTTACTCTCCCCGAGTCTTTCAACATCTCAGGGCAACAACATCTCTCCCTAATGCCTAAGGTTTTGTGATATAAGCTTTACTTGTTTGTGAACCAGGCGGGTCTCCCCGATTTCATAAACTCCACCTGCAATCCTATTCCAAGCCCTACGGTCCACATCATCAGGTCCATATTCTCAAAAATCCCGCAGGCCGTCAACTCACAGAGACACAACATCTCAACATCCCCGATGGCACAATTGGCTAGCGCGTCAGACTGTTAATCTGGAGGTTGGTGGTTCGAGCCCACCTCGGGGAGATTCAGTGGTTCAATCCCACAGCATAGTTGATGATATCTTTTTGGACTTGAGGGTGGTAGGTAAACCTGGTTAGATGGATGGCTCTTGCTACGAATAATAGGTTGTTAACGTTTCTTTGTGGTTAAAAACCATCTCCATGAAAATTCAGGCAACATCCCAACCACAAAGGCAGAACTATACTCAGGCCAGAGAAGTTAGGTTGATATTCAAGGGGCATAGGCTCTGAATATTGGTAGCAATCAAATGCCTGACTATTGAACAAGGAGGGTCAGGATACTTAGCTGCTCAATATGATGAGCTTGGAAAAGGGTTGGCAAGTGAAGGTGATGAATCAAGCAGCGCAATCTCTGGGCGAAAAACCCTTGACCATACAAGAAATAACTTGGCGGGAATTAAAATGGAGGTGAGGTGGTGTCACCAGCGACACCTTTAGAGAGATATGTTGCTTCTCTTCAAAATGGTCGATACAGCATACAATGAACAGTCGTATTTCAGTCCTATACCAAGGTCAAAAAAATAACCGGTTCACACTCCCAAATCATGTTGCGAAAAAACCGCCAAGCCAAAATCGAGAGAAAAGCACAGAAGCCATGCCGTGCTAGGTAGATTGTACTACAAACACCAGTGATTGAGAAGACTAGTAGATACAAGCGTTGTTGTCATACATCTTCCTACACCTCACAGCTTGGCGCCTCTACTCACGGCTGCGCCAATCTCTTGCCGCACGGCCAAGTCCGAGATAATCTCCTCGCTACCGCCTCCGACAATGTTCACCCGCAAGTCCCTGCTGATCTGCTCGACCCTCATCCCGACCCCGCCCCTCTGATACCCTGCTCCACCGAATATCTGCTGCGCTTCCCTATTAGCAAGCTCGAGGAGACGGCCACCGTGAACCTTCGCGAGAGCAATCCTCGATGCTAGCTCTGTCCCCATCGATCCGGTCACTTGGGCGTGGTATGCAATCTGCTCGATCCATGCCCAGTGTGATTCTATATAACGCGCCATTGTTACGAGTTTATGACGGATGATCTGATGAGCCATCAGAGGTTTGCCAAAGGTGTGGCGGTCCATGGCATAAGCCCACGCGTCTTCGAGACAGATCCGGGCTTGTCCGTTCATAAGGACCGCCAGGATGAAGCGCTCTCGGTTGAAGTCTCAGTTAGTGTAAGTGAGTTTCCAGAAGATTTCGCAGACAATAGTGCGTCGGTTGGTCAGGAAACGTACTTGTCATGATATAACGGAAACCAGAATTCTCCTGCCCAATGAGGTGGTCCGCGGGTACTTTGACATTCTCCAGAGTCACCCACGTGCTATCTCCAGCATTCCAGCCACTATTCTTGATTTTGCGTCGTGAGATTCCTGGAAGATCCAGCGGAATGACGAGAACAGAAATCCCGCCGATTCCTGGGTCTCCAGTCCTCACAGCCGTTGTCATATGAGTCGCTCGCAATGCGCCTGTAATCCATTTCTGTTCTCCCACCAGACGTCAAACCTGTCTCCCAACAATCAGCTTCTCAACTTACTTTGTGACCATTCACTATGTAATGTCTGTCATCTTCTGTTTTGATCGCCGTGGTTCTGAGGTTTGCTAGGTCCGAGCCACCTGCATCATATCAGTACTTCTTTACTAAAAATGACCTGTGAGGGTCAAAAAACCAACCAGTAGGCTCTGTGCAACCGAGACAGAAACTCGTTACGCCAGTAAAAAGACCAGGAAGCCAGCGCCTCTTCTGTTCATCCGTACCGTGATGGATGACAGGAGGACTCCAATGGTTGTGCCTCCGGACATTCCAGCTGAGACGCCGGCGGCCCATATTTTACTCAGTTCATAACTGACAACGAGAGAGTGAAAAGCATCCCACTCTGATAATGTCAAAATTAGGAAAATTCCATCTGTTGGTTTGGGAAGACGTCACCCGCGGTCGGAATACCCCCCGGTAATGGAACGCCCTGACGGTATTCACTTGGCAAGTCTGGATATGCCAGTCCTGCCCGAGCATAGTGAAGCCTCGCTTCATCCGGCACATGTCCTTTCTCTTCCCATTCTTGAACGTTCGGTGCGATGTGTTCCTCGATGTATTTCCGAACATAGTCGCGTACTCGACAATGGCTATCTTTGTAATACGGCGAGGCTATAGCATTGTACCAGGATGGCTCCGCAAAGGGCGCGCGGTTGCCAAACGGCTCAGCAATGTGCTTCTCCAAGAACATTTGTGGTTTCAGGTGCCTCAAGTTTCAAGGCAGAACTTGTGGCGTGGTAGGACCGATACCTCAAGTTTTGAAGCTTGGTTGATTCCCTTAAATTGAAGGATGGTCGCAATGCACGTCCAACCTGGGGCCGAGGTCGTGGCAGCACATGCCCCGCGGGTCTCTTTCACCCTTGTTACCAAGTAAGCGACCCAGCCTAGGCTTCCCAGCCTTACCCCGCGTACGGTGGTACATTCCGCGCTTGAACATCCTGGCAACTGAAACAGTCAGCTGGATACCTCCGAACTCCCATGGTCTAATCTTCCGAAATTTGTCGCGTTGAATATGCCGTGTCGGAGTTAGGGGATACATACCTCAACTTGTTGAGATAAGTTCGGGAACCCCAGAGCTCATCAGACAACTGTTGCCCCCGAATGTGTCGTGTGGTTGCATGTTTTGACGCGCGAATGGATTCTTACAAATTGACGTCTTATGTTCAGCCTGACTAACCGGTCGTTTCCATTGTGGCCAACGAGTGGTGCTAGACGCAGTGCCATTTTCACCCACGATGTTCCCACAAAAATAATGTCATGTTTTCAATGTCTCAATTGTCACTAGGCATCTCCAAGCACGAATACGAAACTCGCATGGGCCATTGACAGCTCACGTACTTTTGAAATATGGCTTTCACCAATGCTCGCTCTGATTGACGGAAAAGGAAGGTCAGTCGCCGAGAAAACCGACTGTTCGAGTCATTCTTCCCGACTGCGCATCTGACACCAAACCCCGAAATCGTGTGCCCCTGACTTCATTGCACAAAGTTTTTTGTCTACCGTACGTCCGATGCCCAGCAGTTATCTGAGCGCTGTGGGGAAAACATTTTGGCATTGAATTAGCAGGGCAATTCGATGACCATGTAACCGCTTGGCAAAGACGGACTCGGTAAAGGTTGACTCGTCCAAGGCCACCAATCGCCCAGCCTCATCGAAAGTTCCACTTCCATACGTTACATCATCTAATTGGGATACCTAGAGAGTTTGAATGATGATTAAGCTAGTCTTAGGATTGTATGATGGAGACTACAAGTGGAAGGAAATATCAGTTCGATATTGGTACCACTAGAAAATGAGATACCGTGAAAGGCTTAAAAGGCAGACATGGCATCCGTAGACTCCGTGTTTAACGTGGCCAGGGGCATAGACCAACAGAACCACAACGCAGACCTGATTGTTTTGTATAATCTTTGACGTGTCCCAACCGCATTGGCGTAGAGTCGAACCTTGGTCAGGATTTTACCAGTTGACACTGCTGTCTCGGGTGAGCAACTGAAATGTCCCGTTATTCCTAATACGACTGCTTCGTAGGCTTTGGGACAGCCCAAAGCCACATGCTCACGAGCAACCAAATTGTTGGGTGGCTGAGCTGGCTTGTACACTCTTAACCTATTCAACTGCTATTGCAATACCTGTTTGCTTATGGAATAAACTCTCCGTTAATAAATACCTTCAAAGAAAGGTGCAGACACAAAGTTCCCGGCGGCAAGTTCCCTTATGCATTGTCGAACTCTGTTCACGTTGGAAAAGGTCGCCTACAACACTGTGTTTCAGAACGTACGTGCGCCCCTCTTGCTAATTAAAACTAGTTCTAGAGCCTTTCTAGTGGCATATTCTCAGCGTTCATTCCTACTCGTTCGTTCTTTATCCTTCTTCCTTTGACAACTCGCTAATATTCTGATACCCCGCATCTATGGAGGCTCTATCTCGGTCTTCTGGACATGTCTAAAGGCATGCCTGACATGACGCCGGGAGAGCTAGCGGCCTTCAGGGCTGAGAGCCGAGCCGGCGAGGTCTATACAATCCATACCATCTTTTTCGTCCTCGCAATACTCTCCGTATGTGCAAGGCTTGGCGCTGCGAGACACTCTGGGCGGAAGATCGGCTGGGACGACTGGTTGGCCGTGGGTTCACTAGTGAGTTACAACCCGCGTGACGATGACGAGCCATCCTCAGTGCTTCAGCACGTCTATAAATAAATATACTGGGACATTTAACTCACTTAATCTCAAGGTATTCATTGTGGGAGTGTTCACGGGTACGATGTTCTGGCTCAAATTTGGGCTAGGAAGGCACGAGATTGTTGTCCAGGAGGAGGACCCTATGAATATCACGCATTTTTATCAGACCATCTTCGCCAACGAGATTCTATACCCCATGGGACTAGCTAGCGCTCGACTTTCGCTTGTTATACTGTACCATCGCATCTTTGGACTTTTCAGTGCACGATATTACTTATACGGCTTGATGGCTTTCATCGGGGCGTGGGCGCTTTATGCTGTAAGTTGCTCCTCAAACCATCACTTTCATGACATTGTTGCGTCTTTCGGATAAAACGCAACTTTCAAGAATACTAGCAACGTACCTTTCGCCTCATGAATCATAGTCATTAGGCCAAAATATCATCACTTCAAATCCTGGCGCTAATATCATGCTAGACTATACCAACCATCGTTGCGTGTATCCCCGTTCAGAATTTCTGGACCACACACAAGAACTGTCTTGATCTATCCAAATTATACATTAGTATCGCAGTCGGCAGCATTGTCACGGACTTCGTGCTGATAATCATCCCTATACCGTACGCAATGAGATTGAAAATGTCTCCTCTGAAGAAACTTCTTCTTATTTCATCTTTTGTGTTTGGAGGCTTGTAAGTGTTTCTCACTGCTGGAATATGTCATTAATAGAGCTTTCCCGACCTTTCATTGACTAAGAATTGGAGCTCATGTTAACCTATGAAATATAGCAACTGTTTCATTACAATCATTCGGTTGATCAAGGTTTCAACTTTTGATTATTCCGATCCCACTTGGGGAACTGTTGACTTGATGATATGGACAGGGTTGGAGGCATACTGGTAAGCCATGTTTTTGCCTTGTGATCAGAATTTTAGGAGTGAACTCAAGCTAAGTCAGGAAGTGCCGTCATATGCTGTTGTTTACCGACACTGCGGCCTTTGCTTCACATGTACCGTTGTGGCAGCAACTTTATAGACACCGACCGCAACCCCGGCGACGTGAGCCATCCCGAAGTCTACCTAAAGATGCCACCGCAAATAGCATCCCGCTCATCCGAGGAAGCACTTGAGGAGTATGACTTCGTCAAGATGAGCCTCGCCGACTTGCAACAGTACAGTAGACGATTAACCTTAGGTGAAACCGGGAGTATCCCTAGAGCGGTAGTATACAGGCAATAGCGGCCTCAGTTCCGGCAAATCATTATGAGATACCATTGCAGCTAGTGTTTAATTTAGACGGTCAAAACTTGCTACCGGTAAAGAACGTTGCGATGACAGAAGTGCAAGTGTGGGCCACATCCAATACCAATGTATCGTTCTGTAGCAAGGCAGGACAATCTGGGCCTATTCGTACAGGGAGTTGGACAGTTGATTTAGAAACCCTTCTGCACCTAAACTCAGAGGCCATTTCTCATGCAAACGCGGATTGCATGAGTTCCTGATTTGGTTTTGCTCCTGCGAAAGCTGAAACGTTCATATATGTCTCCAGCCGGGTTTGCAACCAGCCGAGATTGAAAGCGAACAAGATCACAGAACGGGATAAGTGAAACCCGATTTGAAAGTTTCTGACTAAAAGATTGACTCCTTGGAGATAACCATACAACGGTCCTAGAGAAATTGCTATATTTTCAAGCAAAGAGGGAGCCTTTACCTGCTAGGTTCAATAGCTTAGTTACCATCTTATCATAACCCATGGTTCCTAAAACCTCCGGTAGCGTGGAAGCCAGGTCCTGATCGCCAAGAAAGGAATTAAAGCAGCTCACCAGTGTGACATGGTAGTCGCAAGTCGATATGAGGCAGCTGCCACTTCATCCTAGGAAATTCGCAGTCCTGTAGCGAGCAAGAGGATTGTGTGATTCAACTGTCAACGCACTCAACCATGTAGAACCCAACTCTACAAAGCTAGGCGGTCGCCTACCTGCCTGCCGTTCCGCACATTGCACCGTTCCACATCATGCAAGATATGCTACCCCGCTCATCACTGGCAACCCGCTCGCCAGCAGCCACTCGTCGTCGGTAATGCCCATTGTTGCATCGGTGTCTGGGTTGATTTTTCCAATGGGCTGTTTTTAATATCCCACGACCGTTGCTGATGGGCCTTGGCTCTGGTATCGACAGGGCTCGAGTGTAGGGCCCCCTGCTATCACTTCTCACTCATCAACAGCCTGACGAATCCGTCCCCTGAGGGTCGGTCATCAGAAAGTCTTCGCTAAGTACCCCCTAGCTTCGGTCAGTGGTAGCTCCACTGGCATAGGATTCGCGCTCCCGAAGATTTGTTCAAGCCGTGGCTACTGCGGTACGCTTGGCGAGTGGAGTTTGGCGGAAAGGAGTCTGGACGACAATAACAATGTCATGGTTCTTCCTCAATCTCAATTGCCCCGATTGCATTTGGAGACAGCCTAGCTACCTGCGAAGATTACCTAGCAGAATAACATATTTTAATGGCTCACAAGTCACCCTCTTGGCGGTATGAATAGCAAATTGCAGTTGAGCAGACTGCACAACATGTTTTATGCATCTTGGCTGCAGCTCAATCGAACAGAACGGCATGGGAGTTGTAGGGAGATGCACGCAATGCTCGCATCGACCCAGTGCCGCACCATCTGCTGGATGGTCCAGACTACCGGGCACTAGGCGTTGGGACGGCGAAGGAGGGTGGACGAACGGCACAAGACGCCATCTAAAGGTAACCTGCATGTTCGGGGATTGGAGATTTGCATGCGCGGGCTTGATCGGATGTTCATCGGCCAATATTCCCAGTCAGAACCTTGAATGGCGAGGTTGCTGCGACTTAATTAACATCGGATATGGGATCCCAATGAGCTGCCGCCACCGCAACGTTCCATCCTAGGGGTTCTGGAAGAGTGAAGATGCAGCGTGCGATGGTACGGAACACATTACGAGCGCTAACCTGTCCGATGTGACGGTGGTCGGTAACAGTTTCAGTCTAACGACGACACGCGGAGCTGCGCTTTACCGCATTGATGGGTGTGTAGCGACGGGGATGCGAATCACCGCATAAAAAATGAAAAGAAAAACCCTCGAACAGGCTTCCGACGGGCAAGATGGTCCACGGCGTGCTGTGCCGCGGTGTTGCATGAATGATGCAAGGGTTCTTGCTGGCCAAAGAAAAGTCTGATCGACAGCCGGTGTCACTAACCTGTAGCCTATGCATATTTTGTCTGCCGTCGCGTTATGAAGGAGAATGCGGAAGAGATAAGAGGCAATGCTGGACGAGATTCAAACGTTAGGTCGCAAGGACAGATACCCATCATTTCTCTCACTCGGCCCATGCTCTGGAAGATTTAAACACACTTGAGCATGGGGACTGGGAGTGATAAGTGATCCTAAAGTAAGTACGGAGGTAGGTAAATCGAATGGATGATGAGTCTACCGTAAGGATAAGACAGCATGTGTGAGTATGACGGGGGGCGGGAGAGTCAGGCCCGAGCCCTCGAGTCTTGATGGTCCGTCATCAAGTCGCAGTGGTAATGAGAGACGCCGTTGGTGCGCCAGACCATTAGTGCAATTCGCATATTGGCGGGGGCCTCGGTAGGCTTACGGCATGGATTCCCGTGCCTCCACTTCTCAAAAGGCTTAGCCAGGCTAGTCGAGATGTGGGAAGTTCGCGTATTGGCCGTGTGTCCAGGGGAGGAGTTCTGCTCCGTAAATAAGGAGACTCGAAACAGCAACAGGAAGGTGACGAACACGAGTCACCCATTTATTTTCTCTCATCCTTGTGGATGCTCGGTGGAATTACGTACGGATGGACTTTTGTTTGCGGTTCTACACTACCCTTCCCACCCCCACACCCCCAACCGGCCAGGGATTAGCGGTTCTGGCCAGGCCTGGAGCCGCTGAAGGAAATGCGCGCGTCAGTGACCAAGACTACCCGTTGGCGGCGTCTTCCTCAGGCTCTTGGTGTGTGTGGACTGTGTGGCACAGCCGGCGCGTCGGGGAGAAGGGAATTCCTCCGGCGATCCTCCCGCTCCAAGGGTGGTGCTAGCCAGGCGATCCTTACCGGTGGCCCCGAAATCAGCCGACTCCCACTCCCTAGTCGCCCCATCCAGGGTCAAGGGAGGTGGGATTAGAGTTTGGTTCGTTAACAACAGCGGAGGTGGTCCGATGAGGTAGGAGAAACGGGGCCTTTGGGAGAGTGAAATTGGACTGCATCTCTAAGCCTTTCGATCTCTAGCCGGAGGTGGCGTCTCTCGCAGCCGTGTTTTACATACAATTACAACGTTTCTGCATTTACATAGGGCCTTCCGCCTGAAGCGGTTTCATTCGACGGCTTACTGCACCGCCGCTACCATCGGGTTTCCTATGGTCTTGTCGCTAAAAAGAGGTGCTGTTAATACACCCCTCCTCTGCTCTCCTAGTCCATAACCCGTTCAAAACCACACAGTGACAAGCAAAACAAAGCCAACAAAGCACAAAGCAAACACTATGGGGGACCAAGACCAAGTGCATAGACCCCTCCCTGTCATTATCGTTGGCGCGGGCGTTAGCGGCCTGCTGCTGGCGCAGTACCTACGCAAGACAAACGTTCCCTTCTGCGTTTACGAGCGTGATACGGACCTCACCACCCGCGGCGTTGGCTGGGGTTTGACTCTTCACTGGTCGCTGCCGGCGCTGCGCTCCCTGTTGCCTGATGACCTGGTGGCTAGGCTGCCAGAGGCCTACGTGGATCGCGCTGCCGTTGCGAGGGGAGAAGCCTCAGCATTTCCATTCTTCGATCTCAGCACTGGCGATCTGAAGGGAGCAAGCCCACGAACGCCGGAGAGTTTGAGGATCAGGGTTACGAGAGAAAGATTGCGTCGGTTAGTTGCGACAGACGTCAATATTCAGGTATGCCGCATTCTCAAAGTTACGACATGGTGTCAGTCGTTGCGTATTGGTGGCATCACCAATTTCCATGCTAAGTTGCAATGCAGTGGGGAAAAGGCTTCACAAAGTACGAGGAAAACCAAGACTCTGTCGTAGTGTTTTTCGAGGACGGCTCATCGGTGACCGGCTGTATGCTTGTCGCATGCGATGGAGGCCCATCCCGTGTCCGGCGCCAGTTGTTTCCGGACCAGCACGACAGACACCGAATTCCGGTACGGATGCTCGGCCTGAAGGTGCTCCTGTCGCCTGATCAGATGGCACCAATTCGAAGGCTAGACCCCTTCTTCATGCAAGGTGCGTCATCTCGCAGCGACACATTTCTCTATCTTAGCAGTAAGTTACCTAGCGCTTTTTTCAACGTTATTTGTTGTTTTCCATGCTTTCAATACCCGCCGATAGAAGCCGCCGACGATTGTATTGCCGAGCTAGGATGTCCCTGGCCTAACAGGGCTACCCTGCGGCGGGAAAACTTACCGATGATCTCTACTAAGTCTTCCTCTGCGGAAATATGTGCGAGCAAAGCGTAAAGTAGTAGAAACTAATCCGAACCTTGTGTGTTCCGACTCGTAGTACTTGATGCCCCCGGTAACCACGATGAGAGCATGGACAAGTACAGCTGCCAAATGTGTATTTCGTGGCCGGACCGCCCGGGGTTCTTGGGCAAACCGGAACCAACGCACTACCCACAGACGATTGTCGGCAAGATCGCGCTTATCAAGTCGTTTGCCGAAGGATGGTCGGAGCCGTTCCGTGGGCTTGCACTCGGCATTCCTACTGACACCGACGTGAAACACCTGGACCTCTACGACTACCCTCCCCCGAAGGGAATGAGGTCCAAAGGGAGGGTGTTGCTGATGGGCGACGCCTTCCATGCCATGGCGATGTGTAAGTAAAGTACCATGTCCTGAAACCCCCGCCGTGAGCAGCTTCCAGTGTTGTTATCACGATCGAGACGGCTTCGTTTTTAAACCCTTGGATATGGCTCGTTTTCAATAAACGGGGCTCGATAGCTAACAGAACGCACAGACAGAGGTGAGGGCGCAAATCACGCCATCATTGATGTTCTGGATTTCGCGAAAAACGTGGTGCCCAAGCTGGACGCTAGCTTCACGGAGCTGCGAGCCGGTATGGACGTCTACGAGGATCATGTCGTTGCCAGAGCCCGACCTGGCGTGCTGGCTTCGCGACGGGCTTGCATGGATGCGCACGATTGGCCCAAGATAAGCCCTACCAGCCCCCTGCTCAGCAAGCGGGAGATGATGCTTCAATTTGATGAGGAGTAAAGAAGCTAGAATATACAAAATGGATTGTCTTCTGTTTGAGCCAATTGTGTAAGATAAAGATCGCGCACACCGCAATATTGGGAATGGGGATCTACGTCGTATTATGAGATATGGGGTGGTTCGGGATACGTTATTGTCCCCAGTTGCGCTTCCCCTCTATCGCGCGGTGAAGGTGGAGAGCGGCCCGCAGGAGTCTGTGCTGTGAAGACCAGGTTCCCTTCGCCCCCGTCTGTGGTATCGATTGGAGGTATCGTTTTTATTTTGCAGAAGCGAAAAGTGCTGCGTGAGATCTAACCCGATCCCGAAGGTCTGTAATGGGATGTGATCGCTGCTATGTAGTGAAATTGGAAACACCCCAAACGCCCATATCATCAATCTATCGAATCTGATGCCCATCTAATATCCATACACATTATCGTGCAGATTGTCTTTTGATTTTGCTATTTCGGTGTAGTACGGCGCAACCCGCAAGCGCTCAGAGATCCGAATCTCGTGAATATCTTCGTTGTGGCCCAGATGTAGTGAACTTGCCAGTGGTGGCTTCTACTTTGTCGTCTACTTGAACGCTGTACGTCACAGACTTTATAATGTTTCCAGGAAGGATGTTCTCCTCGCTGCCGTTGTCGCCCTTGCTGTGATTCGCCGAGGCGAAGACGCTCTTGTCGTGGTTGATCTCGCTGAGCTTGTACCTCTCGCTGCCCTTGAGGTGGCTCCGTCCGTGCGATGAGCCTCCCGAGTACTTTGAACGGTAGTTCTTCGCCTTCTTCATGCATACCGGCGCCAGGAAAGGCAAAGACGACACAATATTCTGTCCGAAGTCATCAGTTTAGCTCGCGAGTCGTTGCGAAGATCGGATGCAGAACTTACGCCAACGTTGAACTCAATGGTTCCCCATAAAACAAGCATCGTCGAGTTTCCGTCGCCGTATTGGATGCGGTCGATTTCGAGGTAGCGTAGGATAGAGCAGACCGTCGTGAAGAGACCGAGTAGGAAAATGGCGATGAGACCGGCTTTCTTTTCCACACGGATGTTAAGCTTCAATAATACTGGGATGGGGAGAATCGCCACGACAATGTCGGATACAATAGTAACGACGGCGTATGCTGTAAAAGACGGGCCCGATGGCAAGCAAGTGCCGTCTTTGAGGGGATTCCAGGACTTATCGACAGGCGTGCAGGCGAAGATGAGCGAGAAGGAGCATCCTAGGTGGGCAAGGAAGACCAAAATAATTGTAAGCCACACTACCCGACGATAAGTTCTCTGATCGGTTCCTTTGAGCAATCGCAAATAACTAATCAGGAGCGCAATTTTGAAAAAGCTGATCCCGAGCTGATAAAACGGACGTCCCGCAAAGTTGATGCGAGTATATATAATCAAATTCGCTTTCGGTCGCAACTTTACCGGCAGACCAAGACCATACCTCGTCTCTGATACTCTTTTGTCAGAGCTGTGTCAAGGGCGAAAGAGCTAGATGGGTGTACTCACGAGCGATGGTGAGACTAGAGTAGATGAGAGCAAACAACATAGAAAGCGCAGACATCCAGTCATCGGACGCCAAACCTCTAGCACTATGCCGAATCCATAGACGTGCGCCAACAACTGACACAGACAAAAAGGAGAGGACGCATGCAATTGCGATAATGGTCGGCCACTGCGAGATGGCCTCGACCTCGGCCGTGGCGTTTAGGACCCAGCCCATGATGGTGTTTGCGAATGCCGAATCACGCAGTCGATATGAAGAAATTTGGCGACAGTTGTCTCTGCCCTTATTGTTGCCGAACTGTGAGACTGTGGCTTACAGACAAAAGGAAAGTTACAGCTGACACGCCTTCTTTCGAGACAGACAAGCGCGGGACCCAACGGTTTAGTAATGACGAAGCCGTTGGAGAAGAGTCAGGAAGACCGAGTAAGGATCAAAACAAGGAAGTGCGATGTCAGCTGAATGGTGGAAAGAATACAAAAACTGAGACTGTAGGTGGAAAGCGAGGGACTCGGAATTTGGGAAGATGGCGGGTAGCACGCTCTACGAACTGTGATTATGTTAAGGGGAACAAGTTGGGACTTCTTTGGATCTTTATTACGTATCGTCTCGCCTGCCCTGTCTCGCAACATCACCCTATCCACAGGCAAGAACAACCAGGTAAACCAGGTAACTGCAATTGTTCTTTCGTCTCTGAAGTGTGACCCTTATGCAGTCACAACATTGGGGTAGGTGGAGGAAGAGTTGGCCTTGCAGTCGACCCTCGAATGTCTCAGGCGCCGCAAGGATGGGTCAATCTGGCTAAATGCGATCAATTTGATAGGGTTTGGGCGTCTCGGGAACCGGTGCTAGCATGGCCCAATGAAGGGGTTCCGCAAGGGCATCGACATGGGGAGAAAGTTGTATGGAATCTCTGAGATCCTTGGACGGACTGGAGCCATAGAAAGAATCGATGATACCACTCTGATCGTGTGGAATTTCTCCCTCGGGTGGTTGGAAGGGTGACATTGGAGGGAGGGTAGGGTTCGGCGCAAAGGTACCTGGCCTTACCGTGTCTGGGGGCGGCTCCGCCGAGCAAGGACTGCTGCATCGTTATGTTTTCTTTCAATGCGTGGTTTCTAGCTGCTGCGCGTTGAGCTCGCCAAGGCTGCAAGTCTGGTTTCCAAACGTACAGAGTTCTTCGGGACTGCCATGGCCTGGTTTCTATTACGCCGTCCGAAGTTTTGCTCCAAGGAAGTAGCTGTTGTGGTTGTGCACGGGAAGGTTTACTTTTAGAAAAAATAAAAACCACCCGTCAGGGTTGCTTTTGAGACTTGGTACAAGATTATGGCGTGACAAAATATCCCACGGCGCCCTCTTGACATGGGTCCAATGGAAGTTTTGGCCAAATTACACACTTCAACACTAGACATGCAGGCGGTAAAACGGGGGCGACTTAAGCGGCATTAGGTCTTGGTGCGATTTGCAAGGGGAGAGAGGACAACGGACGGTATCTACCAAATCCGGCCGTCCGTACTGCTGTGCCGCTGTCTTGGCTCTATGCGTGAAGACGAGGCGAAAGCTTCTCCCTAAGTGTGTGTACACGTGTGTGTGCCGTCTGGCCAGGCCAAAAAGATCCAGTATCGTTCGAGGAAAAATTTAAGATTTGGTACTTTGATGTCGGTTGGACCGTTCCGTCTTGTCGCCTTGCCATTGCTTGAAAAAAAATTGAAAAAAAAGCTCCCCTTTCCATGTTTCTGTTTGCATCAGTCCCGCTGGTATATCCTTACCTAAGAACTTTCCACTCGATAAAAATTGCCTTGCACTACATCGCGATGAGAATATCCCTCCGGGCTGATGACTCGTGGTTGCTTGATAAGGCACGACAAGCTGTAAACGGATAGATGGTGAGGGGAGATGGTCGATTGATACTACTACAATGAAGAGCGGGCCGGTTTGGCGAGAAAGTTGTTAGGACGAACTAACACTGGCCATCAACCATAGGCTGAGAGGCGAAGCCGCCGCCGGATACGAATGGGATAAGGCTTTGATGGGTCCTCAATGGAGAAATTCTCAAAAGTTGGCCAACTTCTGGCTGCTATCCCGCTGCAGTCCTCAGCTGACGATGTAACACCCACTGTGATAGTGCCATGCACGGGAGGGCAGATCAAGGGCGGATGGAAATCCCTCGCTCATCATCCTCGAACTGTAGGTCCAGGTTGCATGCACCAGGTAGCCAGGGTTCCAGTCCCAGTCTTCCTATGCGAAGCCGGGGGTCCCCGGTCCATTTGGTCTGACCACGGAAACCTTGTGGATACAGGAGGGGGATCGGGGAACTGCGCCGTACGGCACTAAGAACTGCTCGTTGGAGCAATTGTTGGTCGTGAACGGTTGTATTTCCTCGAGGTACTGGTGCTGGCATGGGTACGGTTCTACGGAGGCGCAAGCTGCAACACCGGCGAACATGTTGCTTCTGGCCCTCCTCTAATCCCCCTTTTGAACTGCTCTGATCTGGTGTTCCCATTCTTACGTGCTCCTCCTGGCGGGGTCCTACTGTATTCCGGATGAACTACTAATCAGTCGAATCAGCCTTTGTCCCTCGATACTTTTCCCTCCCTTTCATTACGACCATTATCTTGCGCTCCCTTCTCACCCCGTTGCTTATTGTTCTTCTTTTTCCATCTGACAGCTGCGCAGATCGCAAAAGGGACCCCTCAACCTTCTTTAGCCTTTCCAGTTCCGCAGCGGAAGCCTGTGCGTGCCTCGTCGATCACAAGACGGACGAATAGCGTTGCTTCTGCTTCACCCATCCTGTTCTCACTGGACAGGTCATCTTAGGGCAATTCTTTTTCCGCCTTTTCTTATTTCTTCATTGTGTCACTCCTGAACCTAGAGGAGACAATCTCGACAATGTCTACCGAAGAGAAGCACCCCAAGGACGTTGTGAGCTCGGCCTCGTCCGACTCCTCCGCGCCTTCAGGCAACGTTGACGCCGCGTGGAAGTACCTCAATGACCACCGCGATGCCGGGGACGACACAAGCTCCGTCGACATTGATGCGCTTAGGCGCAAGATAGATTGGCGCATCGTGCCGCTCATGTTCCTCTGCTACACCATGCAATTCTTGGACAAGGTCATTCTCAACGTACGTCTCTTCATCCTCACTGCGCGCCTTCTTTCTTTGCGTTCTAGGCCTCCTTGAGAAAGTTTTGAACTGATTTGATACGCGACAACAGTATGCTGCAGTAATGGGCTTGTCTAAAGACCTGAAGCTGGTCGGCAATGAGTTCTCTAATATCGCCACCTTCCTCTTCGTCGGTCTTCTTTGCTTCGAGATCCCCAACAGTGCGTAATCCAGACCTTTACATCTCTAGCGGAGGAAGCCGAAATTGAGAACATCGACCAACGGGCAATCGTGCAGTCGAACAAGAGAAAATGCTGACATTCAGCTACCAGTTTACTTCCTCCAGATGGTCCCAGCGGCCAAGTGGCTAGGGCTGAATGTCATTCTTTGGGGTACTGCGACCGCTTGCGGTGCTGCCGCGCACAACTACCAGACTCTTCTCGTCTCGCGTGTTTTCCTAGGTATATTCGAGGCCACCATCGGCCCATCACTGATGCTCATCAGCTCCCAGTGGTATACCAAGTCTGAGCAGGCCCCGCGCTTCTCCTTCTGGTACCTTGGCCTTGGTCTAGGCCAGATCCTCGGCGGTGCCATATCGTATGGGTTTCAGCACATCCCTCCCCATGCTGCCCTTGATGGTTGGCGCATCATGTTCGTCGTGCTAGGCTGCCTTACCGTGACCATCGGAATCTGCACCGTCATTTTCGTACCCGATACGCCCATGAAGGCGACTTGGTTGTCGGACATAGAGAAGGTCGCCCTGTTGAAGCACGTCAGTGTCAATCAGACTGGTATCGAGAGCCGCAAGTTCCGCCCAAGGCAGATACTCGAAGCCCTGATGGACCCTCAGATGTACCTGATGACTCTAGCCGTTGTTCTCGTACGTATGCCACCCCCAAGATTTGGTTGGGCAGAGCTAACTCGCCGAAGCTTTCCGTATCTAGCGGTGTTGTCACCACCTACTCTGCTACCCTGATTCGCAATCTCGGCTACGATTCGAAGCGTGCTGCTCTGATGAACATGCCCTCTGGTGTGGTCAGCATCTTTTTCACTCTTCTCGTCGGCTACGGTATTCGTCGCACATCCAACCGATGGGCGTGGATCGTGATCTGCATCATCCCAGCGTGAGTTAATGGCAGATATGGCATGGGGAATAAGTAAACCACTAACCTATTACAGCATTATTGGCGGTGCTCTGATGTCTTTTCTCCCCGTCAGCAACCGCTCGGGCTGCCTGGCAGGTATTTACCTTGTCAACGCCGTTGTCGCTCCTCTGACCGTCTTCTACGCCGTAAGTGGTCCGCGAGTCCGTGGCTTTTAAGACACCTACTGACAGACTCCCAGTGGACTGCTGCCAACTTTGGTGGTGCAACCAAGCGCGCCTTCGCCGCTGCCATCGTTTCCGGCTCATTCTCCTTGGGCAACATCATCGGCCCTCAGACCTTCCAGGCCAAGGACGCGCCCGAATACCGCCCAGCCAAGATCGCCGTCATGGGCACTCAGGCCGGCTGTGCTATCGTCACACTCGCCCTGTACGCGTACTATCGCCTGGAGAACAAGAGACGCGGTGCCATCAGGCAGTCCGAGGACGCGTACATGGCGCCGGAGGTCTGGCAGTCAATGACGGATAAGGAGAACAAGTCTTTCCGTTACACTTACTAGATTGGGAAGCTTGGTGTATATGTATATGTTCCGGCAAAAGAGTATACGTATATATGTAATAAGCCCCTTGAGGGAGATTTGCTGTATACTTTGGCCTGATATTGGCCAATCAGACCGCGAGTTTACCGACGTTACCGTTGGCGTCCGTGGTGTATTGAGTTTCAGGTAGCAAACATGGCTTCCGTGCTATTGGGCCATCGCAACAATCTTTTGTCTTCACACTATTGGGCGGCAAACCTCGTCAACAGGCGTTTTCGACTGGCCTTGAGGGCCGGTGCTCATCGTGGCGATAGGAGTTCTCAACAGATGGAAATTGATTGCGGGATTGAAGTGTCGTTGCGGGGTTTGTCCAATATCGTGGCGGAGTCTAATTTCAGCGCAAAAGATCTCAGCGCAGCGCAATCTTCACCAAGTCTGGTTCTACTTCCGACGCGCACCCAGCGCCGCGTCGTCGGGCGCCACCTTAGCGTTGCGTCATGTGCCCTTCAGACTAAGTACCCAAGAGCTGGTGTCCGCGGACAGCCGCCAATTTAAACCTGGCGTCTACTGGTAACTTTATTCGAAATTTTGTTATACGAGTATAGCTGCAGGAGTCTGCGCTTAATTAGTGCAACGCCACGATGGACGGGGTCCAGAAGTAGCTAATGTATGCGCCTTTGTTTGCTTATCAATTAAGGGACAGTGATTGTTGCCGAGTTAGCCATGTGGGTTTGAAGCCTACTATTTGTCGGACTTTTAGCAAAAGGTCGATAGCCGCTTAATAATTTTTGTACATGACCGTGACTAGCAGCGGAAAGGTGCACGTACTCTGTGTAGTGCGTCATTTCACTCGTGCTGTCTCCTCGAGAATACCGATTCCCCACAGACGCTAATACTCTTTGAGCCTGCTATCCTTTTGAAGTCTGCTAAATTTTCTAAGAGGTCTTTCAACTTTTTACCAATCATTGTTTGATACATAGGAATTAATTAGGGTCGTGGGCGTTACATGTAATTCAGAGTTCAACTCAAGAACCAAACGCCATCTCCAGAGCATGTTTACTATGACAGTCAACCGTGACTCTACACGGAGAAGCACTTCATTACAATTGTTTTCTCGTTAAGTTTTGCACAAGCTATGGTAAGGAACGATTTCAGGGTTCAGCAAAGTGGTCTCTACGTTTCATAACTTTTCGAGTTAGTAGTCTTGATCGGTCTTGAAGACCATACAGTTCGTCATATCGGGCCGTTAGCTACGCCCGCAAATGCATCACTTAACGATTCAAATTAACTACAAGCCAAATGACTTACTGCTTAGTGGCAAGTCATGATTTATTTCATGATTGGCCATTCGAAGATATCTGCGTTCACGATGCCACCCTCGTAGATGCTTCTGTACTGTCTGGGAGACCTGGACCTTGGGCGCTAGGGGTGAGACAGATTGGGTTTTTTGGTTTCGAAGAGCGATCGACGGCGAACTTAAATAAGATGAAGCGCTCGATGCCTGCAACAAGTGCCATGGTTAGGAAGGCGGAGTAGTAGGGCATCGAAGTATGACCGAGCGGACACTGACAACGGCGACGAGCCCACAAGAGGTAAACCTTATTTCATCGAGAAAGGCCTGTAGTTCGCTGTGACACATTCAACTTCAGACGGAGGAAGTCTAGCTTGGACATCCCAACCGCTGAACGATAATATGTATAGCCGTTGAGTGGAAGAAAATTTTAGTATGTACGCAGGAGGTGGCCAGTGCCCGACAGACATGATTGCAGGGATCTATGACTTTCGTACCTTGCCCTATCATAATGCATACTGATTTCCTGGAAACGTCAATAGTCATTCTAGTCGGTGTGGATGCGTCTCAGGTTGGAAACTCTTCAGGAACCACTAACACCGGAGTGAGATCTGTCTAGTAGGTTTATCTTCTCCTCTATGGAGAATGGTTTGAAAAGTCCGAGGGGATTTTGTAGTCAACATGTGCCCGGACTATGCAGCAGTTGATTTTTTTGGCCTTCTACTGTTCGGCGCCCAGTTAGATCCTTCCGACAAACCGGCGGATATAGATAGACATTCGGCGTCCGGCAGGCCCGCGCCGGAGATAGAGGACCCACCTCAACGGTATCCCACCGGCTCATCATAGCTGAGTCATCCCTGATGAGTAAACTTCTGGATCTCTACCGACCAATCATTGGCGAGTGTGTCGCATCGCGCTTCCACGAATGGATTAGCGTCACAGCCCACCCAGCATAGCTCTTTCGGAGCCAAGCGAAATCCAAGTCCGAACACCACTACGCACCCGCACACACAAACATACCCACGCACACGACTATCTTGCATGTTTGACTCCTTTTCAACGACTCCCCTTTAGATCTAGTATACTCTTCGGAACCTTCTCCGGTGCGATGGATCTACGCATTTTTCGTGCTGGAGGTATTCGAGATGCCCTTCACCTGCGACCATGAAGGCTGCGGCCGCTCCTACCTTCGCAAGGAACACCTCACGCGTCACAAAAAGGAGCATACAGCGACGCCTTCTTTTTCGTGCCCATCATGTGGTACAAAGTTTACAAGAGGGTATGGTTGATGCCGCTCAATTCTCTCCTTTGTCTCTGTCAATGCCGTTCCATTGCCGAGTTCCGTATAGCAGACGCGTTGTCCAGGGTGTGTAATCCTCAACTGACTGACAAACCCCAACCATCAGAGACACTCTCCGCAGGCATATGGTACTCCATGGCCCTTCTGCCCCGCCAACCCGGGTAGCACAAGCCTGTATTCCATGCCACCGGACAAAGACCAGATGCGATGGCCGGCAGCCTGTCTGCTCGACTTGCAGTGACAAGGGGAAGTCGTGCGACTGGCCGCGGCCGCGTACAAAGTCTTTGTCCAGATCACCCTCCGGCTCCGTTACAGCTCCGGAAACGACGCCAAACCCCGTTGCCTTGCCCCAGCCGATGATAGCGAGCATGCCGCCCACCGGCATGCCGATGCAGTCCTCCATGTCACCAGCACCAGCACCCACGACAATGGATGACACGCTCGACTTTAGCACCCCTGGCTCTCAATTCACTATGGACAAACGCATGAGGTTACAGCTGCAGAGGATCTATTTCGAACAGTTCCACCCACAGTGGCCTCTGTTGCATCGCGAAGTGTTCGAAACAACTGCGCAACCAAAGCTTCTGATGCAGGCTGTCATGGCCGTTGGCTTGTGGTTCGCTGAATCACAAGAATTCAGAGACCTCGCCATCGAGTTCCATGACCACCTCTTAATAGAGACTGGAAACAAGCTTGTATGTATCACCCATCATTTGACTGTACATATTCTCTTTGTCTGCATCGGGACGGCATTCTGTACGCTTGAGCTTCCCCTCAAGATTCATACAGCTAACAAGGCTTTAGCTTGATCTACTGGAACAGTCGAGGCAAGGCTTTCTATCACCGCGGATGGACTTATTGCCCATCTTCCAGGCTACATTGATTTCGACGATCCTCGTGCCATACCGGGCGGATAAATCCATGGACAACATTATGATGACGCACGCCATGTTGTTAGAGACGTTCAAGGCCACAGGAGTCTACGATCAGTCAAAGATCAACGCGGGATCGCGACTTTGTGGGCACAACGGCTACCCTTGGGTATTCAGAGAACTATACCAGCGGTAAGTTGAGCCTGTTCATGTCAAAGCGGCGAGGCAAATACCACCAGTAGAAGCTATGCGCGAGGACAGAACCGGGTTCGTGTGCGATACCCTGATAAAGCCATGACTAACAACACGCCTGCAGTCTCGCCGTTTTTCAGTTCAAGCTCCATCTGATCCTACAAACACTTTTCATGACGATACACCCAGCGCTACGACTTTCCCGAAACGCAGAGCCCGCTCTCCTACGAATTAAATTACCTCTACCACTGATGATATGGGATGGCCCACCAGCGCATTGGTGCGGACTTGTGCCGACAGACCCGGCGCTACTGGACATGAGTGACGACGATGTGTTGACGGTCAGCCGGATGTGCGAGGAAGCGAGCTTGACAATGGACAACAAACCTCTTATCCCGCTGCTGTCATGGGATCGCTGCTTGGGAATGGCAATCTGGTGCTGGTGCTTACGGGGGAATGAGAGCGACAAAGAGTTTATCGAGAATATCAAGCCATTTGTTCTTGATCCTTTAAAAGGATCCAGTGGCTATCCGGGTCCTAGCTAGTCCAAGGAAACGATACACATCAGATAGTAACATAGATCAAGACGCGCAAATGTTTTTCTACGCTTATATCGGAAGTGCAAGTGGCTACTAAGGTATGTAACTAATATTGTCGACAACACTGGCATTTGCCTCATTGCGGCTCTCAAATTGTTGAAGAGCTTCTCTGTAAGACATTGTGTTACGCGGGATTTATTTACCCACGCCCTGCGTGGCGCTCGACCAGGTCCCGCATACGATGAGGTGGCCTCGTCTGCCGGTGGGATAACGGTACATAGCTTCTCGTACCGCGGTGTAGTGCAGAAGGGACGTGACGAGGAGCTGCTAAAGCATATCAGAAACAAAGACTGTCGGCTGGAGTCGGCTTCGGCCCATGTGGGATATCGGCTGTAGTCAAATTTGACGTCTCCTGTACTTCCTTGAGAGGTTACCGCAATGAACTATCCTGTCAGGCACACACGTCAGTTTCCCGACCATGTCTGAAACATCGAAACACGTGTTATTCCTCAGCATCACCTCTTGCGAACCACGAGCATCCAAACGAACCCCAGGAACCCCGAACCACCAATTTCCATACGATGACTGGTCACGGCGACTTGTTACGGGCTCTTTGCCAAGCAGTTTATTGGCTGTTGCACATCTGACTGCCACTAAGTCAGACTAGTATGCCCCTTAGGTCATTTTCTAATGAAGTTAAGAATCCCAAATCTTCCCCAGCTTCGGAGTCGACAAAGTTGCTATGTACAACAACATCACGAGGCCAATAGGAATAGATGCATTTGCCGACCAATGGTTTTGAGAATGGGATTCCGGTCGAAAAACAGCCCTGCGATGGTTTGCGGAACAGCAGGAGTGTTTGATTTTCATTCCTGGAACGGTGCGTGCCCACTCCGGCGGTGTCCATTCGCAAACCTGGAATATGAGCGGCTTTTGTTGGAATTTTACTGACAAGAAGCTTTGCATTTCTTTTAGAAGGGATCACAAATACCACCCATTTTGCAATCTCGCCGCGTCAACTCTCAAGACATCAACTGCACCTTGCACCTAAGTACGAACGACCCTCGTGAACGACGAACTCTTGAAAGATTACAACGGCATTGAAGATAGAAGAACATTAGCAAGCTCCTTAAGAGCACAAGCTGTGGAATTGCTTACAGATGGAATGCCGATTGAAAGAGAACGGATTTGCATCAGTGATGCTAGCACATTCGTCCATCATTAAGGGCTTGAATGCAGTTTTGAGGCCTTGGTTGCAAAGTCTAGCACCCCGAAATCGACATATGTGAACTGCAAATCCGAGACTGTCGATCATGGTTACGAGGTCCTTTTGCGACTTGAATACCTTCCAACTGGCAGCGGATAATGTAGAATTCATACTCTCAAGGAGTAGTGCAGCTGCATTGGCTGCTAGCATCATAATATGTATGTAATGCCCAGTTTTTTGGGGACTCCTGGAAAGCTAACATACTGACAGCATCTGCGGACCTGTTCGTTGTTGAGTTACAGCTGAAGACAATGAGCCAATAGATCATATTACTCCTCTTTCGCGCTTGACGCCAAACAGTCGATTTTGTCACCCAGACCATACTGCTTTCAGGACGAATTTATACAGAAAACTTGTTTTATTGATATTTATTTTTTTGCGCCGATGACGCAAAGCCTTAGTGTATTGCCACAGCTGTCCAAACTTGGCTCTGTTTCCGAATTGAAGAAGTGCCTTGTGTATCAATGTTGCCCAACTCGTGAAGACCGCAGCAACGCAAACTAGTATCCCATTCTTGTGTAATGGACACAACTAGTCTTAATTGTTCTTGGCTTAGCCCACACTCGTCAACATTGACTTTCCAAAACAGCGTACCCCGAAAGCGCTGTTCTATCCCGAATAGAAAGCCATGACGCGGCTAAGTTAGGGTTACCAGAAGATACAACCCATCTACAGCCTCCGCTTTCGAATCGATCGTGGATTTCATCTGCTCCTTTCAAACCCTGATACTGAAAGTTACATCGTCCAAAGATTACAAGGGAGGCATTGCTTGAATACTCCCGAAAGCCTCCTTCGTAGTCGTGCTTGGCTTCGTAGTCGTGCTTGGCCATTGGCAGTATGTAGGTAGTTTGTGCAGGAGTTTGTCTACTTGGGGTATAAACATACAGACCAAGGCCCTAAAACGGTTGTATGTACAGCATTGGCCCGAAAAAGACTGGCGTAAGCTACTTAATGATGTCACTCTGGTATAGAGCGGCATCGTCATCAAATCGACATTAACACTCGCTATGAAGCGTGTTGGCAAGCTGGGCCGGATCAATATTTCTGCACACAAAGATCTTTTGGCTCAGAAGGGCAAAGTAGTCGACAATGGTCTTTGTGTTACGTTGGAACTCACCGGAAGCAAGGTATTCGACCACTCTATCGCTTTAAAGGGGAATAGTCACACAGTCAGGATTCTGGTCGATGGGTCTGGGCGGTCTATCACGAGTTCTTCAACAAGAACGGTAGGACGAGTGTGTTGAGCCACTTTTCAGCTCGAAGTTGCATCATAAATATTACATGACTTCACGTGAGTCAACATACATCTCCTGATACATGGCAGCATTTTGACCACGTCAGATGTGAGGCTTCTATGAGAGGCTTGATACGGTTTTATTAAGTCTGTGATGTGGGTTGAAAGATTGCTTGAGACCAGGGTGTAATTGCTGGTACTTGAAAGTTGGCACGGACGCTATTAGCAGGCGTAGTGTTGATTCCCATGTTTCCCAGTGAAGATCAAGGTGGAAGAGAAGATTAGTCACTTTTCTCCATTCACGAGATAGCAAAGTCTGGATTCAATTGGTCGCAATATTGGGATCTGGGAGCCTATGATGCGCAAAAAGATGACCAGGTTTCGAATCTATCAATCAAGCATGACCCGTATTATTCTCTCCTATTGATCCTGTTTGCGCGGAGTACTCCTTTCTCCTAGCACAGTACAATGAGATCCCATCTGTTAACTATGCTCTGTTATCTCAAGACGGTGCCCAATGTCCTAGTATTGCCTTACAATGCACCGTGGTCATTGTTGATTACCACAACTTCTAACTTCCGGCAAGGTTTGGGAGTTTCATTCCATTTAAATCATTGGAAACACCTCGGGTATGTTTGATGACCTAAGTCTGCTGCATCGTGCATCGCTCAAGAAATTGCCAACAAGCCAGTTCTTGGATGACAACCAACGTATTCAAACATCTGCTGCTCCGGTTTGAGTACCAAGACTTCGTGAAACAATCGAAGGGAAACATTGTTGTCAAGCTTTTTTGCGTATTGCAAGAACCCCCCAAAGATTTCCAAATGTGTCGAATGTTGCTTGGCCCATCCCTCGAGCGAACCGAGTTCATCGAAGAAAGCCAGTCCAAAGGTGCGATCCTTGTCTGCTTTTCCCGTCGCAGGATCGATGAGGTCCATGAAGCGACAGCTGTGACAACCAACATCACTACCTTGGTCCCGCAAGAAGTCCATGCCTCTGATCAAAACAGGATGCATAGTCTCGAGGTAGAGTTTTCGCTCTTCGGGCAGCGTACCAGACCAGTCCTGGCCAGACCGTATGACAGCCAGGTTACTTTTGCCCGGGATACGAACACTGGATGGTTTTGGTGTCTTGTCATGATCCGCTTTCACCTCGCTGTGCGCAATGACGCCGTTCGGTTTGGTCTGCTCGATCTTTTCTCCTACGAGTTTATCACTCTGGGCAGCAGGCATACGATCGCGCATGCTACCCCAGTACACATGTTCCTTGATGGGACCGATCACCCGCTCTCTCATATGTGCCGCCCCCTCGGGAACTTCGTTGTTGGAAAAGATGGTTTCGAATCGGTCGATGGTGGGGAGAAATGTCTCGAGGAACCATCCGTGGCTTTGTGAATCGAGGTCAAGGCTCTCCCACCATTTTCGGAAACCCGAATCGCCAGCCCACTGTTCGTATGCAGGTTTGCTGGGCCAGTAAGCCAAATGAACAATATTGTAGTAGCCCAGGTTGTCGGTTACCGAAGCCCATTCAGCGAACTGGGGACGGGCTTCGATTTCGACGGCCATGGAGGCAGTGAAATTGGTCAATTGCGCGATGGCATCTCCATTTGCCCTATCAGCGGAGGTGTACTGAGCACCAATGACAGCAAACACAAGGTCTTTCGTGTCTTTGGGGAAGCCGGCACTATAGGCCGGGAAAGGAGGTATAAAGTCAGGTGGTCCTTTGGCAGCTACCTTTCGGGGGCACTGCAAGTGCTCTGGAATCGCGGAAACAAGCATGTTGTAATACGTGGGATGGGATTGGTAGCATGGGGGAAAACGATACATGACAACCCAACCAAACTCGGGGGCTGTGGTTTTAAGCCAAATTAGAGTGCCTGAACATGGGCAGCGGCTCGAAAAGCAATCTCCACCCCGTTGACTTCGTTGTGGGAACCTAGCAAACATGGCAAATCCATCCAGATGCGCTGCCGATACGCATATACAGGGATCATGAACAAAGAACGAAAGACAATTGTCTTCTCTGCACATGACCCTTTGCATTGTCGGAGACCACCACACCCTTATCTAACTGAAATATACTCTAGATTAAGCTGCTTCCGAACGACGGCGGTATCATGAGATGAACTTTAGGCAGACTCGAGTCCTTCTCAATATCGACCGTGTCTGTCCCAAATGCCAATGGCTTTATCTAAGTCAAGGAAGCGATCTTCTATACGGCCTACCATCTAATTTCTGTTTCTCCTGATAAATGTAAGCTATACCCCAGCTAGTAACTTCCCCGGGCGCTGGCTTTATGCTAGAGAGATGGCGCCACGAGAAGCATCCACATCGAGAAATCTCAAAGTCCATTATTCAACGAATGACAGAAGCATGAGATATACATAATAGCGTCTTGCATCTTGCGCATCAGTCAAAATGGACACTTGCAGGGATAATTAACCATCAGAACCCGATCAATATGCTACTGGATGCAGATTCCCCACTGGCAAGGTACAAGAGTACGCATTTCCTAGTCAACTGAAGCATCAGAATTGCTCAGCTGGGCGCAGATCGATGTGGAACAACCGACACTAGGACACAAAGCTCTTTTGCGCGATTTATGCACTCACGGGAACTTAATATCCGTTCCTCATGGCAGAACACCGAATGTAACTCAAGGCCACAAACAGCCCTGTTTACCCCCTTGCTGTTCAGGATTTCAGCGTTTAATGATCAGGGAAGACGAGGGCATGAATGGAATTTGATGAAGCGCAATCGTATAAACTCATGCCCGAATCCCCAGCAAAACTTCGATGCCTGGAAGACGAAGACAGAAAAAGTCCGCATGATCTTGAAGAGGAGGGGCTTACTTGCGGACGAGAGACCACCGCAACTCCATAGCCCAACTTCACCCCACCACCACCACCACCACCACCACCACTTGTTCACACCATGGCAACACCGTTCCAGGTTGAGGCTTGGACCGAAGATGCCATTGGATTGCTCGTGCTTCTGGTTCGCATCGTTTATCGGACGAGGATTGTTGGGACCAATTGGGAAGGAGATGACTACTTTGCGGCCATTCCAGTTTTTTTCTGGACGGTAAGCAAGCTCAAGCAAATGATCGCTATTGCAACAGAACTTCAGCTGATTTTTGGTTCAGGGCGAATTGATAATGCTGGAGTTGATCGGTGAGAATTCCTTCCAATCCCGTCGTCCCCGAATACCTTGGCTGCCAAAATCTAACTTTGGTCGTACAGGTCGATATGGAAGCATTACAGGAATGAGTGACGAGTTTGCTCTGACACTTTCCGATCAACAAAAAGAACGAATAATCATAGGAAGCAAATGTTTCCTTGCGGGATGGGTCCTTTACGTTACTCTCATTTGGTGCTTGAAGGCATGCATGCTTTTTCTTTACCGCAGGCTCACGTATGATTTTCTACCCACACGAATGATTTTGGAAGCTTGAGAACGTACTACTAACCAACCAACCTCTTTGATTGGAAACAGGCTCAATTTACAGCAGCAGAGAGTGGTTCGCATTTCTGCCGGCGCCTGAGTCCTTTGTTATATCGCGACAATCCTCGTTCTCCTTACACGGTGCATGCCAATCCACAAGAATTGGCAGATTTATCCTTATCCTGGAGGTAATATTCTACCCTTTTAGTTTCTTTCGCTGGAAAATATGCTCATTGACTAACGTGCTCTTGTAGTGTTAGATGCGTGCGCACTGAACATTCCCAACTACATCACGCTTGGGATTACCAACGTCATGTATGCTTCCACACCGACTTGAGCTATCAGAATTTAGAGTTGATTGTCGTGCTGACTTTCACCAAGAACTGATCTGATGATTTTGTACATTCCATTGCCGTTACTGTGGTCTGTTCAGATGCCATTGGCTCGGTAAAGCAGAAGCAAGCAATTCGTACTGTGAATTGTACGCTGATTGGATCGTGGCAAAGTCATTTGCTCCATGTGGCTCTGTACGGGAGTCTTCATTATCATTGCCACACTTCTCAGGTGCGTTCTCTACTTGCAAGACGCGAAATCGATCAACCTGGGAACCATCTGGTCTATCAGAGAAACAGTAAGGCCCACCACCCTAGCCCCTTTCACGAACCCGGTAAACTCTCTTTGTCCTTGAACAAGCCACTAATACCCTTATTTAACCTCGGCAGTTTGTTGGGATCCTAGCTGTTAATGCCCCGGTCCTGGGTCCGTGGATAGCTAAAAACGCTTCAGCCGTGCGGTCTCGGACTTCCAAAAATTGCTCCAAGACAGGGGGTCAAGAGCCAGCTAGCCATATTGTGACGATTGGTGCAAAAGACAGTGCCCATCGTCTTGACCGTCTGGGAAATGATGGTCGCCAACGCAAAGGTCTAGGCTGGATTGAAATTGATAATGACAGCGAAGAGCGCATTATGAAGAGTCAGAACGATGTAACTGTTTCAGCCAAGCGATCGGATGAAGTGATTCGTAATGGGACTAATCACGTCAAGACCACATTCGAAATCTCATAGGTAGGTTGAAAAAGTTGGTGTCAAAGTCCAACCTTGATTGTTAGAAGTGTCATGAAGCAATAGATAAATCTCTACCAGAACGAGACCTTTTGCGCACACACAATATTGTAATAGTAAATGAGAGCGCTGCGCAGCGGCGACCAGACAGAGAATGAGATACCGGGTGTCAAGCGATGGGACCCATTGGATCGTCTGATGGTGTGTTGTAACCGTATCCCGCTCAGGTGATGCCTGTGCCAAATGAGAATGTCTTACTCAAGTCAAGATTAGGATGTGCTATGAAGCTGCACCTTCCAATCATATCTAGGGCTAACATTTACGAAAAATTAGTTCGAGCGACCTGGTACATGACACTGTGGTGTCGTATCGTGACGTTATAAGTATGTGCTAGATTACGGGGAAGTTAAGCTTTGTCAAGATGCGCAACAGGGTGACGGAGCTGACCCATTTGAAGTCATGGGGCTTCGGCAAACCGAGGAGCGGGACTGCGGACGACTCAACCCCGCAGGTTCACGACACATCTAGTTGGGTACAACTCGACGACACCTCTTTCTTTTGAGTTGTTCATCACTCTGTGGACTCCTCAAGATTAGATTAGATTCGGGCATCAGAGTGATATTGCGACATCCGCGAGTAAAGATCCTGGCTAGCACCATTCCTAAATGCTTGTGGGTATCATGAAGAACTGCAGCGCCTGCACAGTGACGACTCTGCCCTGGGTCTCGTATCGCAAGAAGTATGAAAAGCAGGATTGACGCTCTTCAATCACATCTGTTTAACCATTCCAAGTATAACCTTGCAATGTACTGGAATGTAGCTCGTTAGGACGTACAAGTTGTTCCTCTAGAAATGCTTTAATACAACATAACCGATCCGTCTCTAAACTGATTGTACATTAAAAATCTTCCTCTCTGTAGCAGATTTCTGTTCTTGGACCCGTAGTCTGATGGAAAGGCAAAACTCGACACTTGAGGTTTCCCAACACAGGGCGCGACAAATTTGATATCTTATTTGGAGCCAGCACTCAGGGTATCTTTGAGATTCTCAGTGTGTGAAAGACTCTTAATGTACAATCAGGCACCCATCAACGACGCATGGCGCCAATCCAGCTTCACCTGTGTGTACATAGTTTTCTCAGCGACCGAATAATTGTGATAAAATCATCGACAGCGTGAGTTCGGCTGTTCTGGGTTTGGGGCTATTTTGCTCAGCTAAGAAAATATCTCATCTTCATCTTCGTTCCAACGGCGATGCCACGACCATCGAAGCATCACTTCGACCACACTATTCTCTCCAACGTCTCTTGAACGTAAAGAGACTGCAACACGACGAAGAAATGTGACATGCGCGGGGTTGGGCTGGTGGTTACAGATTCGCTGCGGAGCGTACCTCACAGAGGTTGCGGTTTTAAATGTGATGTATTGCCCCCGAGACTGTGCCAACAAAGATGTAGCATATACGGATAGCTCTTCCATACCACTAGTAGCTTGTTGTATGTATTAGGGATTCCGCGCCGACAAACAACACCAGTTACTGAAGCCTACAACTATGATTCATAGTATAAATGGGGGTTTCTCATGATTAGGTCATTATTTGGGTGTCCCGCACCTTCCATTGCGTCCACAGGGTATAACAGTGCGGGATACAGGTGTTCTGATAGAGAAATTAGAAAGCTACCTCCGCGTGCAACCCCGTGCACAGTGTCTCTAGGGGGAAAAGTGCATAACAAAGATTATATATGTAGATCATGGCTTAATCCTTTTCACCCTGCGACCTCGCCCAGCACTCGCTTTCGAACGTGGTCGATTTGCCTCGACTAGACATTTTCGGCTCAAGAAGTCGTCTTCGGTGCGCTATCCCCCCCTACGCCCAAAGGCCTTTCCTCAGTTTCCTCAAAATTCTCGTTCAAATCGATCTTCATCTTCCTTATTACACTCCGAAAGTTCTCCAACGTTGCCCCGCTCTTGCACACTACCGTCAATGAGTACACACTTGCGTTGAGGCTGTGTATCGAGTAGACGTCCTGTTGTATGTGCGAGGCGACTTCGCACAAAGCCCTGTTGATAGGACAGCTGAGAGAAAACCCTACAGATTTCCACCCTGAAGACGACGGCTCGATATTGAAATATAGTACGTTGATGCTCGGTGGGCCTGCGATGAATGTTGGCCCTGCATCTTCAATCTGGCCAGTGGCTGGGTTGATCACTTTGCCGCCCACGGTAGGCCGGTTGAACTTTGCGTCCCACACTTCGTATGAGGAAGAAGATGCCATGCTGTTGAGCTGAAACGATAAATATTGAGTGTTAGTTCATGTCTTCCCACCCAGAGGTCTTTTTTTTATTACTTGAATGGCTGTTGATTCAACTTGAATGCTTTTCGATTGGATGTGCTTCTTTATTGATTAATAGAGATTATAAGCAGATAAGGAATAGAAGAAGAACGTCCAAATAATGCCGGGCGCTATCAGAATCTCGGTTGCGTGATGACCAACCAACAGACTCTGGGAAACCCAACGACTGGCACGTCTTAGCCACTCCCAGTCACTGCAAGGATCACTAAGAACCAATTCGGTCATCGGGAAGAAGACGACCGAGTTACCTAGATACATGCAGAAGGAGGCTCGACAAATCGAACGTGCGTGGTATGACACCCTACATACATGTACTCAGCCTACGTTACGCAGCCGCCTCTTGGCGGCATGCTTTCTTCCAAGGACCAACAATTACAAGCAAATGATTTCCTTTCAAAGGCCTCTCTGTGCCGTTTCAAGGTTAAATACATGCTGGCTAGCGTTTCCTTGGATTTCTGTCGTCATTTAGCAAAAATGGACAGTATACATCATGCTAGGTCGTTTCTGTTCATTGAATGCTGGACAGAATCAAAACTATCCGCAATGGCAAATAGCTGAAGACTTGGCCGCATGTTGTCTTCCCTAATCTAGGAAACTAATTCCTTCCGGTCCTTTTTTCTTTGGTTTGTTTTTTCATGGTGGTACTTCTTGAATACAATCTAATCCACGTTATAAAGACAGTACATGCAACTTCAAACTCTGAGCAATTTACTCCCAATTTTGGGCGGCAACCAGCTGAGAATTATCACCTTTGCTTGTCTCATTTATTATCAACCTGACGATATTCTGAACGTCTAAGCCCAGGTTACTGAACTGACTCTAAAGGCTGATATTCATCCGGATCTGAGCCAATTGATCTTACTCACGCAAATACAGGCTAGACCATTGCATAATATTCTTGCGGTTTCGGCGCCGAAGAGTTTGTATATTTGAAAGCCTTATGAAAGCACCTCTTTCAGGGTGTAAAATCCGGGCGTAATGGAAGCTGATGCTGTGGGTATGTCCTGTCCCATGTTCACCAATATCTTGTGCAAGCTCCATGTTTTTTCTGCCGTTCAATCTGCCTCGTGACCTACGCTCTAAGTCTAAAACCGAGCTGCACAGTATATGTGACTGAGATATGTAAACACTCAAACTGGGTAAGCCTGACCTAGATTTTCAGAGGCATCAACCTCGTTTGATCCAACTAGTTTGGTTGCTCTGCTTTGAAGATCACATATGCCTCAAACTTTGCCAGACGGGGCTCCGAGTAAAGCATCTGGCGTCACTGATTGGCTCCTCGCCGGCGAAGACGTAGCTTACTCCTGCTCAATCTCATTGTTCTGACCTTGTTCGCTATTTCCACGGGCGCTGATGTTGATGCCTGTCGCTTGTTAGGAGATTCAGATTGTGGGTTGAGTCGTATTTGTACTGACCATCTTTGCCACCGACGGAGGTGCTGCCATCGCTGCCCTTCGTGATGCCGAGGTCGCCGCCAACTAGTCCCCAATTGTTAGTAATGTACAGAAGGTCTAAGTGCAGAAGTTCTTACCATTCTGGACTTGACCGTTAGCACCTACAATGATGCCGAGGTTGTCTTTAAACTGCTCAGACTCTGCCACGGCTTTCGGCTGTCCCTCAGTAGCTTGCCCAGTTTCGGCTTGTTGCGTCCCTCTCGCGGGGTTGACCGCTTCAGTTCTATTACCCTGACGTTGAGCCTCTTTAGCAGCTTCTTTTGCTTTCGCGGCCTCGCCGGGATTCGACCCAAGGCCTTGTTCAGCTGTTGCAGTGGCGTTTCCATTCTTCTTGGCCCCGTTGGCGGCACCCAAGAAGGCGTCAAGGACGCTATTGCCTGTTCCCCCAGCAGGCTTTTTGCCCCCAAGTTGAACACCCCCGATGGTCAGGCCGGCATTGTTGTTGGCGGTCCGGTTGCCAGCGACATTGCCTGCAGTCTCCGAGGCTTGGCCCGCACCATTGCCCTTGTTCTTGCCACCGAGCTGTAGGCCACCGAGGTTAATCCCCCCGTTTTCGAAGCTGATTTGTCTTTTTTGTGCGCTAGGCTTGTCAACGTCTGTTCTAACAAGAGCTGCAGCGCGGCCGGCGACACTGCCCTATGGTTCGTGGGTTAGCCTTACGATGTCAGATAGCAAGGCAACTATAGAAGACACGAGATTTTCTTGCTAGCATTTGAAGATTGGATCACAAAAACTTACCGAGAACAACTTTGACTGGCTTTCTTGGCTATCGCAAAGCCCAGTCTCGCCAAGTGCCAAAAGGGCGAAGGCAAATACAGAACCGAAGCGCATTGTGACCTTGATAAATCGGAGCAAGAGACAAAAAGCTTTCGGATGAATCAGAACGGGCCGCACAGCAGCGAATGAATTATTAAAAAGGAAAACAAATATGTCAAAAAGCGTCAAGCTTTAGTTCCACTAGAAAGAGAGAAAAGAATGAAATTGTTCCAAAAGAGATGCAAAGAAGTGATGAACGGTCTGCGGAACAACGAGAGGACCGGGTACATTGTTCCACATATTACGAGAGGAACAACATAGAATTCAGCCGTCGTCGGAAGCATGTCTCCCATGCCCTGGCAAGAACTTCCTTGCGACACTCGGGAGAGTCTGCTGCCTACTACAGGCTGACGTGGTCGTGAACCAGGGCCATAGAACGTGGTATCGAGATCTCGAGCCGCATGAAGCTCTCTGCTGCATGGACTTGCGTCGTGCTCGGACCAGGTTTTGCCTTCCTGCGCTACAACTTTTACCGTAGCGCCCAGCGATCCAACCTGCCGGGCTCAACACGTAGGGGCCCTGTGTTTTGTTCACGTCTCTAGAGCCCGCTCACGGAGAAGAGGCCTACCAAAACACACGTCAGATGGAGGATGTGGAAGAAAATAGGACGAAAGCCGCCCATGGTGGTGCCCGCATGATAGCGAATCGGTTTTGGGTAACATCGGACGCCGCCGCAAGTGGTTTTCTGGGGCGACTTTGCTGCCGCCTCCACCGTCTCGGCACGTCTTGGCGTCACGGAGCTGTGGCAGCGCAGGCTATTATTGGCGTTGCCGGGGTGGCCTGCGTTTATCCAGTCTGCAACTCTACTTCGCAAGTTTCCGAAGGGCGGGCGCTCAATCAAAAGGGTGTGGCCCTGGACTCTTTGGGGTTTTAGCACGTATTTCGTCACACTTGGTATCTGGTATTATCTGCGTCGTAAGACATTGAGACATAAGGAAGTAAAACGCGCACACGATAACAAGCACACAAAATGAACTGCGGAAGTGCGGCGAAGGTAGTTAGAAGGGCCTCAGGAGGGAGGATTGAAGTGATCTTAAAATCCGTCACACTTCCGCCGCCTGTGCTCATTTTTTTCTATGCTTTTGCCCAAAATATTACACCAAACCACCATCGTCCAAGAAGTTTTGCCTCAAGCGAGACACAAAAAGTACACCTCTTCCCCAAATGTCACTCCGGTTTCCGTTTCGCCACATTTCATGCCAAGGTGTTGATTAAATTGTCGAGGGGGCTTGTCAGAGAAGGAGCTTCCACTTAGCAGGTGCAAGCACCAGTGGGGGCCAACTCCAAGGGCAGGTAAGTGGTGTGGTAGATGGTGGTCACATCCTCATCGCCGGTCGGGTAGGGCGCCTTGGTGGGCTGGGGGTAGCGGGTGTCGTTGGGGTGGTGAGGGGGCTTAGTGAGAGTTACGGGGTGATGGTAGTCTGAGGCCCAGCCAATGGTGTCAGGACAAGTGCCATGGAAGACAGGTGCAGAAGAGGCCGAGACGGCGGCGGAGGTCGTGATCATGCTCTGGGCCGCCGAGAAACCGCCCGTCGCCGTCGCGGTGGAGTTCTTGGAAAGGGTCTTGCTCACCGTGACAGTGACGGTGCTCGGCGGCGCACAGGTGGAAGGCGAAGCCGGGGGCAGCGTGGTGGGACCGGTGCAGTCGGCTCCGGAGATGGAGAACTTAGGCGTCTGCGCGTAGATGACGTAGACGTTGGTGCCGTTGATGGCGTTGCTGTGATTTGTCAGTCCGCTTGCCTTCTTCCCACGATCCAAATCCCTGCTGGTTCTCAGGTGCGCGCTCCGCTTTTCATTTAAGGACGCTGTGTTGCAGCGCATGACTCGGACAGATATACCCCCGTCGAGAAATAGGCTAATGGGGCACAGCTCAGGACCCAATGGAGAGAAAACAGCTCAAGAAACGATTAGGAGACGGAACTGTGCTTACAATTGGTAGCCGTAGGAGTTGAGGGTGGAGCAGGGAACCTCAACGGAGACGGCACCGGCGGCGGTCTCAATGTCCTGAGCCAAAAGAGTGTAGGAAGGGGGCCAGTTGACGAAGTTGACGAGGAAGATGCTGAAGGCCGACGGATCAGTGTCGACGGTGTTCCAGGTCAGCTCATAGCTGGAGCCCTTGGTGACGGTAGAGTTCAGGGACGGGCTGGTGAACTCGATGGCCGAGACCAAAGGGGCCGCGAGGGCGAGGGCAACGGCGAAGAAACGCATTTTGGGGAGTTTTTCGGATCCGGACTGTGATACAAAAGAGTGACTGGGATCGGTGAGGGAACAAAAAGAGAGACTCCTGGAGGTCCGACAGTTCAGGGAAAGGGGGGCAACCGCGGCCATTATGTGCACTTTGGGGCATGACAGGAACAGCGGCAAAAGCCCAAGAACCGGGAGATTGCAAGCAGGCAGCCTGGCTCCAGGGGTGCTCCGCGCCGCAATGCTTGTGGATACACGCCCGGGTCCTCACGGCCGTGATAGTTCATCGAACGACACGGGCGAAGGACGTTCGTATCTGGCCATAGGCGGCGTTGTGCTTGCTGGACTCAAACCCCAAGGTGCAAGGGGCAAATGTGTGGTTCACGATGGCGGACTTGTCACTTCATACAGCAGCGCAGCGCGGATGGTACTTCTCGTAATGGTTAGGAGGCTTCACGTAGCGTCGAATTAAGCGAGAGCCTTGAGCACTCTGTGCGGCACAGCCTGGGCAGGAATCTTACTCTCGGCCTCTCTTTTGGAATCGTTGACAAGCCGCGAATTGCTCGGTTTGCAGCTGCATTGGTGTGGCTGTCTGATAAAGGGGGTAATCCAAACCAGGCCGCTGACGGCCGACGGCTGCACTTAACCGGTCTAATGGGCCCCCGGCAGGGGCTGGCGGTTGGCTTTGCGGCGTTGAGGTAGGCTTGCTTTTCATGCCAAATGCTTCCTGTTCCTGCATCCTGCTATCCCCGTTCCCCGCTGATTGGACAACCCTATTCCCTTCTCGACTCTCTTTGATTCTGTTCCTGCGTCCAACCTGCTAATCCATGGCGCAGAAATCCTTCCGGCTCCGCAGCCTTGTCGCCTGGGGCGTTAGAACCAGCTAAACCACTCATCTGTCACCGCAAATACACTTGCACCGATGAGGTATGGTCCACGACCTGACAGGAGCGTCCGCGCCGCAATGTCGACATCCTCTGGCTAAACGGCTTGCTGCCTTCTGACTCGGGCACCGAGGGAGCAACATGACAAAAGTCCCGCAGGCTTGGGAAATTGGGTATACGGGGTTTGTCGCCTGCGGCACGCTGCACGATGATGGCGAGTCGGCGAGCAACTGTAGCAGGAAATTTGTTCATTTGGATTTTGTACCAAACGCCCATTGCGACCACGCTTTCGAAAGTCTTACTATCTCAGAGGAGAGCCGGTGGGAAATAGGGTTCCCCGCCAGCGCATTTTGCTTCTGTTGGAGCTAATTTCGCCCTCCACCAGAGTTACACAGGGGTCGCGCGTTTGGAACCGGATTACACGTGAGGGGCACGGGTTTGCGGACCCCAGATCCGCCATGAGAGGGGATGCCTTATTTCCGTCTTGGCGAAGCTCTACGCTGGCCCAATATCGAGATGAAGATTCTAGGTGCCAACATTCAACACCCAGTACTAACATCTTGCCAGGAAATTGACGTGAGACGGAGAACGATATTGGCGCACCACAACCAGCAGGAAGGAATCCCAATCCGCTTGATTCCCAGGGTCATCGCGCAGCCAGCTACATGCAGCTTACGCGCCAAGCTTTTTGGTCAGCTGTAAAGCTCAGCTCGGCCGTTGAGCTCAAGCCTAATCCGGACTCCATGGCGCTTAATTACTGCAGTCAAAGATAAACACATGACGCTTTCAGGCCATATCAGAGGCACAGTAATGGCAGCTTGACAGAACGGAAAATTGGTTTCTACAGTTGTGGGACGATTACGCCCAAAGCGCGCCTGTCGCGGATTCCTCACTAATATCTGTCCATGTGCAAGGGGAGTCCAGTTTTCGTCCACGGGCAGTATCTCGGTCTCGTCCTTCGGCGAAGGGTAAGACTGTCTAATGTTGATGAGACGCGGATTCAACTGCCAACCTTTCCCATGCAGAGATTGTGCACCCTCACATGACATTGCGAGACATGTTGTTTTGTCTTAAGAGCGATTGACTTGTAAGCACCCAAAAAGATCTCGCACTTGTCTGAGCATTTTGGCCACGCAACGGAACGTCCTTTTCAGATAGCGACGGAAGACCGACGGGGATTCCCCACTATATCGTTGTCAACATCACCGGCCTAAAGGTTTGCGCAGAAGCAACGTGGATCAGAGGGGTCCACAATGAAGACAAAGGCCGTCTGCCGAGACAAAACGGGCACATTGTTTGGAAGTCATAGAAAGAAGTAAGACAAAGCTATAGGATACAAAAAGAAACTTCTTGATCGACACTTATGCCACTTGTGGACTGTTGACCCATGAGTCGGAATCCCAACCAGCCATCAACTCGAGAAAAGGTTGAGATGTCGGTTCCGTGAAACGATATTTGATGACCATAGCACCTCAGTAGTGGAAACAGCTCACGTCCCAAAGTCCGATATAGAATGTGAGCAATCGATCTACATAGTATCTTTGTTCCCACCACCACACACCGGGTCTTTCCCTAGTCATGTGATAAATGCACAACCAAATGCTCCAGTTTACTGATCGCGTCGCAAATTCTAGGAAGGCAGTCACGCCGCATGCGGTCCCAGTCGACCATGTGCATGTGCTGATGGTTAACCCTCTCGGGCGGGCGCCATTCACTACAATTCAGATCTGGTCCAATGAAGGCTGAGTACTTGGTCTGTCATTGGGTCTGAGATACTGCCCTTCGATCATGATTATAAGTTTAGTCGGAACTTCGTGGCTCACCACTGGCTCCTAATTTTCAGCAGACGTTTTTGCACTCAATTAAATCATCCCGCAGAACATTCTCATCAGCCAAGGTGCAGAGTCGAAATGAAGTTTTGCCCCGTAACGTGTCCCAGGATTGCGTCTGCTGTCTTGATAATCAAGGATCGCGCCTGCAGGTCTGCTCATGTCGCAGCACCGCAAGAGTCTTTCCTCATCCTCATCCTTGTTCTTATTTGAAGCCGACTCATCCTGCCCCGAGAACCAGAAAAGCTCCTTGCCAGCTTGGCAAAGACACAGGAGGCGTCGCTGGGTTCGGCTTGTTCCTCGTGTCTATCGAGCCACTGATCTTGCCACTGCCGCAAGGTGTCATGCTCACGGAAATGGGCCCAACCTGAGGTTTCGATGAGTGGCACTTATGCGGCGTAGTGCCAGGTGGCTGTACGCGTGGGGTCCGAAGTGGCGTAGGGTTCGCGCAATGAATTCCTACTGTGTAATTCATGTACAGCCACTCGGGTGACAAAAAAACAGCGCCGGTTGTCGAATCGAGCCAGCTTTTCCATCAGCAAGAAACCCCATCAAATCTACCGATTTTGTAAGAAAAAAAAATAGAAATCAATTTGAAAGCCATTGGGGTACTCTAGGAAATTTTCTTCATTTTTATTGCACTTCTGTTAGTAGGAAGTCATGGCCTTGACTGCAACTCCCCTATAAAACAACCGGCGCTGTCTTTTGTCACCCGAGTGACAGCGAATATGCGTTTTGACAGTGGGTCCTGTAGCCTGTCCATAAAATTTGCCTGGCCTCGGGATTGGGACAGCGAACTCCGGCGCCATGCACAGCTTTTCATAACATGACGGAGAAAATGCGGGGCTTCCGGTCACCGCGCAGTGGCAGTTATAGTCGATGTGAGGTAGAGGAGATGATGTTCATTGCTCTGTCTGTGGTCAAAAAAGTCACGCCACGAATACGCTTGTTCAAAAAGCATGCAGTAGTATTAGAGGGTATCGTCCATGGACCACTGAGCACCCTACTGCACATCAAAACCCCAAGCCCGCACTGACAATGGTGCAACGGCATGATCATCGGGCTTGAACTTAGACTAATCCCTAGGACACGAGCATCTCACTAACGAAGCATTCGATCCAATGGCTACGGCATTTTACGGACCGGAGAAAGCCGCGTTTGTAGAAACTAAACTGTTTGCCTTACAAAAGGTTATTAATGAGTCTGGAGGTCGGAACTCGCATGGCAACACGGCTGTGTTTCGCCAAAAGGAGGTTTCACTCTTCGGCAATGTACTCTGCAAGAGATTCTCATTGTAAACTGAAATCCTTTATAAGGGCAGATTTCTCTTCCTGCAGTCTCCGTTGACGATTCAACTCCAACGCGTAACAAGCACAAATAGTTTCATAGATGATTGAGGCGCTGACAATAGTAAAAAAGGGGATTAAATATGCTTCGGGTGTCTCATGTAGTCTTCATAGCATCGCTTGGTGAGGGTTCGAGCTTCCTAATGATTCTCGCAGGGTTGCCAGCCACCACGTGATAATCAGGAACGTCCTAGCAAGAAGTTTAGCAACACATAACTCAACCACCCTGCTTCCCACGCAACCCCGCATACCACGCAGCCCAACAACGCGTCACCATAAAACCTACTCCTCTTTTCTAACTATCACAACATCTTCTATTCTACCCCAAACAACGCCATTTTTTGAGGATATCTTTTTTACTATAAGATGAAGCAGTATAGTGAACATGAGCTGCAGCGGGCACTTTGGGATATTGCTGACGGGCTTAGTATCCGCGGGGCAGGTCGCAAATGGGGCATCCCAGAGGCGACTGTACGACAACGTCTCCATGGTACCCAGTCTAGAAATACTGCCTTTGGTAGACTGCAGCGGTTATCTCAGAACCAGGAAGGTCTACTTGCTGAGTGGATATCTAAGCAGGCTGCCCTAGGCTCTGCGTTTTGCCATCAGCAAGTCAAAGGGCTGGCTGAGCGCATGCTGGGCGATGGGCAGCGACCACTTGGGAGGAAGTGGATGCAGCGATTTCTTCGCAGAAACCCATCTATCAGAACCCAGCGATGCAGGGCAATTGACGCTAGGCGAATTAATGGGGCAACTGCTGACATTATCCAGGAATGGTTTCATCGCCTTGATCTGCCAGCAATCCTGCCCATCAAGCCAGCTAATAGATGGAACATGGATGAGACTGGTATCCTCGAGGGCAAAGGAAGCAATGGGCTAGTACTAGGATCGTCAGAGACCAAGTATATCCAGAAAAAACAGCCTGGATCGCGGGCATGGGTATCTCTGATCGAGTGCGTCTCTGC